TAATCAATTTTAATAAAATCTTAAATAATTTATTATTAATCAAACTTTCCTATATTTATATTCAAAATTATATTAACTTTAATTAAGAATATAAAGAAATTAGTTTATAAAAATATACTTTTGAATATAGAGATTTATATATTTTGAATAATAAATAAAATATTAAATAAATATTGATATATAAAAAAAACTTAATTATATTAAAAAGAAATATTTATTAAATAAAAGATTTTTGATATATTATTTTAATAAAAGGTTGATATTTAGATTCAATGTAATAAGTATCAAAAAAAAAGGAATTCTAATAAAGAAATATTTTTTAATTGATATTATAGTAAATATGGAAAGATTGGGTATAATATAAGAACTTATCAAAATAATTTAATAGATTCTAAATTATTAGAATCTTTATAGTTTTAATCAATTGATTTAATTATTGTTGAATAATATGAGTTTGAAAGTGTGAATTGAGGTGAAAGTGGTCCACTCGATGATATGGTTTATTCGATGATAAATCACGTTATATATAATATTTATTTGAAGAATAAATAAAATAATTCCTGTAATTAAATTTCGATTATAAAATCTAAAACTTATTAAAATAAAAAAGCAAATAATCATTTTATATATCTTTAATATAAATTCGAAAGGTTTTTCTTCTAAATTTAAAAAAGTAAAAGATATAACAAATTATATTCTCGAATCAAAAAAAGGAAAAGCTATTAAAAAACTTTAAATATATCAATTCATAAAACAATATAAAAAATTAAAAATACATTTTAATTATATTTATACTTTGCAAAAAGCTTTTTATAAAAATTCCAAATTCTTTGAAAAATAGTTTTGATTAATTACAATTATATAAGCGAAATATAACATTTTGAATAGAGATTTTTATAATCTCAATAAAACAAACTTTATAATAAAAATTATATATATAATAATAATTATTATTAATATTAAGAAACACAATAAAAGTAGATTAATATAATTAAACAATTAAGAATAGACTATAATAATAATATATAGGCATAAAAAGAATAAAACTATTCTCTCATTTCTAATAATTTAAAAATAAATTTATCTTTTTAATTAATATATCAAAATCAATTTTTCTATAAACTAAATTATTAAATTTATATTTAATAAATAAATAAATAAATAATAAAATAAATTTAAAATAATTGAAATATTTCAATAAATATATCAAGAATCGAAAAAAAAGTAAATATAAAATATTAATATTAAATAAATATAAAAGCTACAAATCAATATTATTTTAAAATTATTATAAAAAGAATAATATTAAATATATATATTTATTATTATATTTAAATTATTTAAATTGATTATTTAATATAAACTATTTTAATAATCTAAAATGTTTATATAGTAATTAAATTGATGAATTTATTAAAATATATATTAATTATATTTCGAAAATTGAATTCTTTAAAATTTTTAAAGTTATATATAAAAAGTTAATTATTTCTCAAAATATAAAATCAGAATTTCAAAAAATAGATTTAATTCTATTTAATCCTAAAGCTATATTCTCGAAATTAGATATTCGAATTTATATATTTACCCCCTTTTCTTTCAATTTAAATCAATAAATCTCTCAAATTCTTTATAATTCAATTAAAGCTTTTTTTTAATTAAAATTAATTAAATCTCGAATAACTTAGTATTAATCAAATTCACTTATATTTATATCTAAAACTATATTAATTTTAATTAAAAATATAAAGCAATTAGTTTATAAAAATATATTTTTGAATATAGAGATTTATATATTTCAAATAATAAATAAAATAATAAATAAATATTAATATATAAAAAAAATCTAATTATATTAAGAAAAAATTTATTAGATAAAAAGCTTTTAATATATTATTTTAATAAAAAATTAATATTCAAATTCAATATAATAAATATCAAAAAGAGAATAAATTTAATAAAAAAGTATTTTCTATTTAATATTATAATAAATGCAAAAAAATAAATTACAATATAAGAATCTATCAAAATAATATAATAGATTCTAGATTATTAAATTCTGAATAGTTTTAATCAATTGATTTAATTGTTATTAAATAATATAGATTTGAAAGTATAAATTAAGGTAAAAGTGGTGCATACACTGATATGATACACGCACTGATAAACTATGTTATATTCTTTTATTTTTCAAAAATAATAACTAATTATTAAAATAGGAATATTAAAAATGACTAATTTTGATGCATTTTCAAGTGATCCATTCGATAATATGATCCACTCGTATATGAATCACGTTATGGATTTTCACAATGTTGTTATAAATCAGTCACTGAGAATAAAAAAGCAGAACAATACTTAGTCTCTGATAGATGTTTATCATCAATGTCATCAAATCGCGAAAATCTAACATTCATACCGAAATCATACCGAATGTTCACCCTCCTTCCTACCTAATCCCAACGACAAATTGTCTGACCCTCTTAAAGTTATGGCCCATTACTTCTATAATAAGTCCACTTTGGCTAATTGAATATAAATTTTAAAACTCGCGGGACCCTCATCAAATAGTAAGCAAGTTGGCGCAGTGGAAGCGCGCCGGGCTCATAACCCGGAGGTCCCCAGATCGAAACTGGGACTTGCTAGCATGCAGTGTATCCTTTTTGAAGTCTTCTATGTTGTAGGAAAATCGTGAGGATATCTTTGTAAAAGGTTCATTAAGTTAAGTTTTGGGATATTGATTCAAATTCCTTTATTGAAATTTTTTCTGATCGCTCAGAGTGGATCCATCGATAAGATCTTTCGGCTTCGGAAAGAGGCATTATGTAGGGTCCGAGGTGGGCCGATCTTGTCCGGCTGTACCAAATGCCCCGCCAAGTCTGTAGACAAACACAGAACATCAACACTCAAATGACTTATTATAAAGAAATGAGAATCCATTGGTCCAATTCGACTTTTAAACAAAGTCTATTCAAATTATTGCCAAGCCAGAACCTTGTCATCTGATGATTAGTCAACCCCAAAGAGGGGTCCAAAACAAACCATCTACGGTGTACTAGTTGATTGCCCTGCTGCTAAATTCTAGAAGATTTTCCCGGTTGCTATACCCGTGTCGCAGGGCCGAGGAGCGCCACTCAATGTTGTTTTAATCAACAATTTACTTCATTTCATTGCTCTTCTATTGATTAGGAAAATAATCACCAGTGGGTGCACGGACTCACGGGACACACGTTTTTTGAAAATAACCTCAAAATAAACAATTCAAAATATATATAATTAATTCAACTTCAAAATACCACCCAATACACAATTAATTAAATATAAGACTACTCCTACTAATAAAGAATTATATAAAAAATATAATTCATTAAAAAAATCATACTTTTTTAATGAATTCAATTAATATTATATAAAAGAAAGTATATACTCCATTTCCACTCAATTAAATATATTAAACTCTACAAATCATTAATAATTTCAAAAAAGAAATATATTAGAAAAACAAGTCTATAAACAAATTTGTAAGCTCTCAAAGAATCTAGGGGAACCTATATTAATTAATAAGATTACTTGTAAAATACTTATTTCACCCTTTTAAAATAAATTACAAATCAAATTTTATAAAGTAATAATTAAATACTTTAAATTAAAGATTAAATAATATTTTTTATAAAAAAAATTAAAGAGATTTATAAATTAAGATTAATATTACAAAACTATTTATTTATAAAAGTATATTAATAATTAATAATATAAGAAACATATTATATTTAATAATATATATAAATATAATATTATAAAAGGATTTTGGAAATATATTATATATATAAACAAAATATATATGAATTCTACTTCTATAAAAAAAAAGATTCTAAAAGAAATTAGAATTTAATATAAGCTAGAAAATATAGTGGAATATTTTTTATTAAAGAATAACAAAATCTATTATAAAATATAAATCATTTTCAAAAAAAAAACTGAAAATCTTGAATTCTATTATAATGAGGAGGAATATACAAATAAATCTAAGTCTGAATCTAAGTCTAGAATGTATTCCAAGACTAAAAGTTATGGTTTTTGTAAGGAGTATATTTGTATATAAGAAACTAAAAAACCATATCCCAAGAATATCAAATCTTAGGGTAATACTATAATCTAGAAATATTATATTAAATAATTATTCCTAATCTATATAAAAACAATTGAAAGGCTATAAGCAAAAGATTCTATATATAAATAACTTTTAATAAAAAACAATAATAATTTCTATAATTTTATATAAAAGTTTAGGGATATATATAATATTGAAAATCTATCTCACCCCCCTAATTCACCTAATCTGAATTCAATAAAGAGTATTTGGAATATATTAAAATAATAAGTTTAGAAAAAACAATAAAAAATATTAAATAAATTAAAAAAGATTATATAGAATAAATAGAATAAAATTCTATAAAAAGAAATTCAAAAAAAATATATAGAATTATCTAATAAATATAGAACTATAATTAATATAAATGGGAGCTGTATATAATCAAAATTGTAATAGTTATTAGCTATTTAGTTATAATATTATCTCATTTTGGGTTTTTTGAAGCTATACAGACTGTCCCGTGAGTTCGTGCATCCACTGGTGAATCAATCTATCTACTTACATAAGTATACCCATAAAGTTGCGCAGAAGTTCATAGTTTTGTTTCGAATCAAATAGTCATTGTATGATTTCCATGAAATCTGCGACTGTTTATTTGTTTTCTGTCACCATAACAATACACATCATGTCCCCCATGTATTACCTCAGTCTGTAGGTTTAATCCAATTCATGCATATCATATGATGGTTGCTGACAGTTAACTTTCTTTCATCGAAGGCTTCTAGTCGCGACATTTATCTCTTACATCCCTCAATATCAGCGTATGCTCACTTTGAGCTCATCAGCGGGTTTTTCGATCGCGAGCGTTCTCATCATCACATTGATGAATCAAGTACAAACTGTCACTATGTACTATCTTTTTAAGACGGCACCAGATATGAGATACGGCATTCCGATCGCCACACCACCTTCTATTCGTGACTGGCTTAATCTCTCGCAGATTCTTGTTCAGTGGGCTTACTCGTTATTCTTGTATGTTACTGGAGAATTAAATATTCTTATGTTGCAGGTTCAGCTGAATTTTCATTAGATTTGCGCTTGTCATTTATCTACCCTCTCCAACGATCAGCGCTACTGCTAAAAGGGTTGCGGTAGTGCTTTGGATCTCTCATGGGCTCTTCTCTATCTTCTATGTTGTTGTAGGAGGTCGGCCCGAAGACATAATATTCAATATCAACCGCAACCTTCACGTCGGCATCATCAATCCTCTCTTCACCTTCCTTACTATCGTTGCTCGCTATCTTCAGGCTCGTATAATGCCACCTGTCGATAAACCGAATGTATGGAGCGAATGCAGACTTCGCACCCAGTTGTTCATATTTATGCTCCTTGCCATTTCGTGGCCTTTCAGGCTGATACTTCCTCCTAATATGTGGGAGTTGGGACCACAGCCAGCCATATTTCTTGGATGGTACCCTTGGGTTGGATGGGTTTGTGTCAATACCACTATCTTGACAATCGATCGAGGCATTCTGCTATTTCTATGTATTAGAATGGCGAGGTTTAATGGCGAGTTTGGATCTCATGATGAACATGAGGCTTTGATTCTCTCCCGAGAGCTTTAAATAGAAAAAAGAAATGATCCTTTACACAATAATATCTACAACAGGCTTGCTCTAAATTCATTTGACTAGTGAAGACCGTCCGACATAGCGCTTCAACAAAATCACTTTACCATTTACATGATCGAAACGTACAGTACATTGTCAAACTAATCTCACAATCAAGTATCGTTTCAGACGCCGGTGACATACTCTAATCACGTTACAGGGTGCAGGAAATATCAGAGCTCGAAAATAATTTCTACAAAATTAAATTCACGAAGAAATAATCTTCGTAACCAACGTCCGCAATAATCTACTCAATAGCCAAATCCTCAAATCTATAAGACAAGAATCTGAGCGATTCGGAACAAGTACGCCTCAGATTCCAACCTAGCAAGAAGTTAACATGGGAAACAGCAATCCATCTGGTTCTCTGCTGGTAAATCTGCAGCAAGGAGATTATGATCACATCCAGGCCCACCCCGAGGATCCCAACCATCATTGGTAAATTTAGCCTTTCCGTTAGCCTTCTTACTTGTCCAGCTTAAAGTTCCATATGTAAATTGAACATAGTCGTTCTCATGCTCTCCAGTTATAGAAAGCGGGATAGGAAGAGGGCCTTGTACATTTGTGCCGTTCCCAACATTTATTGGATCACCCAGCCTTTTGTTGAGAAAATACGATGCTGGTGTCTGATATATGACTTTCCCGTTGTTGTCACGGAGCGTGATATTTGCGTACAAGTTATTGGTAATTGGATTACAGTTCTCTCGCTCGATGAGATGGAAGCAACATGTGCCAGCATCATAAGCTGGAGGGAGTGGTAGTGGCGATGAAGTCGATGAGGGCGAGAAAGATGGTTGGGGAGTGGATGTACTTGTTGAAACGGCTGATAATACAGTTACTGGGTTGATATTGAAGCCAATGTCCGCCATGTACTGATCTGCAATCTCCTTGTATATTGCCTCATGATAAGCCAATTGGGGATGGAATACTCTAGCACGATGACCAATAAAATCAGGCGAGAAGTTGGCCTGCTTTATCGCATTTCCACCAAACGTTTGATTCATCTGATTCTCGTCAACTTTGGACCAAAAATCGTCGAGATAGTCAGTCCAAAGAGTAGAGTTTTGATCCAGAGGCATGTTATCGATGTCAGCTTGCTAGATACCGTTCAAGTAAATGATGGTTGGATCCGTCAATATTTCGTTCTCTTCATTTGAATCGTAAGGATAGTACCAAAACCAAAGTTTGGGATTATCCAAGTCTGGTTTTTTGACCCCTGGTTCACAAAAGCGATGGCCTGCTCCTAACAAGACGTCTATATCGATATATTTGACGTTACTTCCACTGTTCTGGTGTACAGCCTCTTTAATGGCAGAATTCAATGTCACACTCATCAAATTGAAGTCTTGACGCAGATCCGTAGTCATCATTGGATATTCCTTGTTATCAGGATTTGGATTTGCGGTCCTTGAAAAGGTCACAGTATTGCAACCGGGGTCTTGATCGTTAAAAAATTGAGTATAACCAATTACATAAAGTCGAAACCCTTTCCCAGTTGCCGCCTGACCATATTGAACGATTTTTTTGATCACGGAGTCGATCTTCGCTGCAGAAGCTCAAGCAAGATGGGCGGTAGCTTACTTTGACAAAGGACTCATTCTACCTCCAATGAAAGAAAGGAAAAGGAAATCGCGAACTGACTTGCTTTCGTGTAGCTTGAGATATATCTTTAAAGGTGCTTTCGATAGTATTCTCTATGTTGATAAGTTGCTTAGGGATATTGGGCTCACGGCACATCGTAAGAGCTGGCGGAGAGATCTGTTCGTACCATTTAAGCCATATGATTAGGGCAAAGCATGGAAGGAATATCTCAACGGTAAAGCCCGGTAGATACAACGCATTTCCTTTCTTCAAATGGTCTCTCAGTGTAACCTGGCGCATCTATGGGAGCTGATTTTCGTTTTCAAATTCAGGAGTTTACTTGTCTTCTGAATGATATCTCGTATACCTCAAACAAGAAGCGTTCATTCAAGATATCTACATGTTGAAAATTTAAGTCCGAATTTTACAAGTGATATCCATATATAGTTGTACTAAGCATCTACAAAGAAAAGGGTTACAAATCAGATGACACTCTCTGGTGCTCCGATGGAATAACCGGCAACAGAAAGTTGTGCCCGAAACTGGGGATTGGCCCGGCAGTTATTCGGCACGTCAGGCAGGCCATCAATTGCCGACGCTTTCTTTCTTTACGGTGTAGTGCGTGAGAGTCGCGCATAAGAAAGATGGGGCACCAGAGGCGGTGGTCCTGATTATTGAAATGCATCATACCTATGACGCGGAGGACGATGAGGTGCTCCATATGCATTTTTTCTGCCAAGATGCGACGAAGGTCGACAGCGAGACTTGTCTTTCGCATCACCCCATGTCAAGAATACACCACCTAAAATTGCCTATCCATCGAATAATTCAAGTAGCACCCAGCACTTGCAAGGTCACTCATATCGCCAGCTATTCTTCATATTCTATAACAGTCGTGAATTCAACAAAATTATTCCCCGTCGGACGATCATCGTTATATCTCGTAACCATGCATCGTACCTGGCTCAATAAAGTCATCGATCGCCACATTTACCCCGCAATTCCCCGCATATACCTGCCACCAAACTTTCAACACTTGGATATCTTGAATGTCTCCATTACGGGGAAGAATTTTACCGAAACTTCGTTGTAGCTACATAAGTTGCACTCGGAGACGTGATGTAAGTCTCCCATGGTAACATTTCATGTTCATTTCACACACCACAGAAATGTTGTCTCGAATCTTCCTCACGGCATTAATAAGTGTCCCCCTTTTCGTATCCCCATCTTCTTCCACTGCCGTCTCCCTTGTCAAAGAGAAGAGATGCATCGTAGAGGCCAGTGCCAACGGTGGCGATGACGCACCAGCAATAATTCACGCTTTCGAAGAATGCGGCCACAATGACGGGATCACCACTCAAGGAACCGTCGTATTCAAAAACACAACCTACAACATCCAAACAGTCATGAACACCACCGGTCTATCTAACGTGAAAGTTGATCTTCACGGCACACTATTATGGGATACCAACATTCCATACTGGCTGAACAATTCTCTCCCTGTCGGATATCAGAATCAAAGTAGCGCATGGCTTTTTGGGGGCGAGAATGTCCATTGGGATGGTCATGGATATGGAACATTAGATGGAAATGGAGAGGTTTGGTATGAATTTATTAATGGGACGAATAATTATCCGGGGCGACCTCATCAGATTACATATACAGGTGTTACAAATTGTATTTTTGAAAATTTGAGGTTCGTGCAGAGTCAGATGTGGACGATGACAATTATTCACGCAAAGGATATTTTGTTGGAGAATATTTACGTGAATAGTACGGATGTAAGACCGGTCGGGTTTGAGTTTAGTAGCTTAAATGTAAGTTTTTTTTGCTTTTTCGTGTGCTGGGGTGTTTTCAATGGAAGTATGGAAGCTGATCTTTAATATATAGACCGATGGTGCTGATACTATCTATGCGGATAATATCACCTTCCGTGGTTGGACGGTAGATAATGGCGATGATTCCATCTCCATGAAAGCCAATTCAACCAATATCCTCATCGAAGATTGTGATTTCTACACCGGGCTTGGTGTAGCCATCGGGAGTATCGGTCAATATGGTAAGTCTCCTAGATACCTATCATAAGATAGATGTCATTAACCCTTTCTTCCATCACAGAGGGCAGATATGAGGTAATTGAAAACGTCACCGCTCGCAACATTCGCTCTTACAACATGCGCTATGGAGTTTACATGAAAACCTGGACTGGAGTATCCACTGGGTAAGACCAATACTTCATCAATCTTTTCAGTCTCACTAACAACCTCAGATACCCTCCGAACGGCGGAGGCGCCGGTCTGGGCCATGCAAGCAACCTTTCTTTTACCAATTTCACGCTTCACAATAATACCGGCATAATCGCGATAACGCAATGTACATCCTACAACTCTGCAACTGGGAATTGCGACACCTCACTATTCAACCTGTCCAATATGACCTTCGCTTCTTGGAGCGGTACAGCCTCTAGCGATGTAGTAGCAGAGCTACAATGCAGTGGTGCCGCGCCTTGCACGGGGATGCTGATAGAGGGCATGGAAGGTATTTTGGATACCGTGAACAACACAAAGCCAGCGCAGTATCTTTGTGATAGTGTTGTGGAACCTAAAGGATTCAATTGTACGGGTGTGCCATTTGGAGAGAATCCTAGATAGAAAGGCTGGAGGGGAAAAAGGACGAAACGAATAAAACAATGATATGAACGATAGAAGGTGCAACTCATTGTCTACGTCGCAGGCGCTCCTTCCTTAAAAAAAAGATCCCCCGCGAAAGATAGATATCCCTTCCCCCTCTTGAACATTAAATACATGATCAGAATTGATGTGGAAGAAAAGAGTCGCCAGTGCCACCACTGAGTATATCAAGCTAATTCCAGCCCATATAATCTTCCTTTTTACAAACATGACTCTATTTTCTTAATCCATCACCACAAGTATTATCAATAAAGTTGCTATTTCCTTGCTTCAAGCCAGTATCTACAGATTCTATTCATTTCGTTACAATAAACACGGCTTATTAAGGGCATTGTTGATTTTTTGGTGCCCCCAAAACCCACTCAAAGATACAATGTTCAAAATCGCTTCATTATTGAGCCCCGAATACCCACTGAGATCGTGCCTTTTCGGTCTTTCCATTTTGGCTCTTCTTGTGATCTGGGCGGTTTACGATCTTAGCAGACTTTGCAGACCTCTCAGCACATCTTCGAAAGCGCCTGCAAATCCGCAGAATAAGGTTAGGGGGAAACGTCCTGCTGGGGGATATGGTGTATGGCAGACATATGGGCCACCTGGAAGAAACGCACGCCATTAAAGATACAAAGCCGACAGAAAGACCCAAGAAGATGCAATGTCCAAGTATATTCCAACGCTTCAAAAATGCTATTTCTTGGGATGGAGGACATAGTCGTCGATCGTGGAAAGAGTACCCCGCTGAACCTACCTTGAATGAATCTACAATGAGGGCACTATTGGAAGTCGAAGGCGATCTTTTAAGAGTTGTATTTCCTGAAGACAATGTCTCTGCAAGATCCAAACAACCCAAATCGCAAGCTGCCACATCTAAACTCCTTACAAGAATCTTGCCGACCACTAAATCGGATATCGCGTACGAACAAAAAGTGTTTGGACCTAGTATCGCTCAAGAGAAAGCGGATGCTTCTGCTGTCTGTAGTGTCAAATTTCTCACTGCGAATTCTTGCGATCCTCTCACATACATCAAGTCTCATGATACAGAAGATAAGATACCAGAGCCAGTTGGCGATAAACTAGTTTCTTAAGTCTTGTGGGAGAGCGTGGAACCCAATACACAAACAGCACATAAGGAACTGCAATGGACAATTCTGGGTTCTTCTCAAAAAAAGGTGAGAGAAACTCCAGACTCATTATCTTTCGTCTCTTCTAACATTCGAAAGTAGGCATGAGATGTTCAAGATGCATCACACGGCTTCTCTCTGTTCCATGAGGCAGTCTTCGGGTTGGAGAAGCTCTTTGAGTTAGCGTATACTTGTTCTCATATGAAGAACTTGGCGGCGAGATGGTCTTAAAAATATTCATTAAAGAATCAGCAGGCTTTTTGTATTAGTTTCTACACCTTCGATATTTCAAGAATAAAGAGATAGCGATCATCAATTTGTTTTCGTCTTCTGACTCACAAATCACAAGTCAGCCAATGATCAGTGCAAGCCATGATTGAATTTTGGTCAAAGAAACATCAAGGTCCCCGTTGGACATTGTAGAGATGCTCATGTTCGGTCTTTTCCTTTCTCTCCCTAGACTAGAACTCGACTCACAAGACTTGCAGCTCAATTTAATACATCGATTGATGGAAAAGTACACATGTTTTGATTTCCGCAAGAAATCAGTCTATAACGAGTGTGAAAATGTGGTATCAAACTGACATCGCGCAACGTTTCCTTTCTGGGACAAGAAAGAGTGTCGCGATGGTCGCGGTGCTTGCCTTGACCCGTATTCATGATCATAACTCAATGCTTCGCTCAAACTCCAACTTCACCATAATATATCTCGTCTCCCGTCTTGCTTTTCTCATATACTCTCCAATCTACTGGAGTACCTTTACAAGCAAAGATGACATCCTCCTACCCCCTCATCCCCATTCCCAAAACTTCTCTGTCCAACGATAACCCCACACTCGCACCTCTCTCCTTCCCTCTCCTTAACCAGTTTCTTTCTCACTGCAATCCCCGAAACAACCGGTCCAACGATCGTACAGAGAACTAAAGCCCAGATTATCACCAAAAATATTTGATCTTCGACCACATCTAATGTTCTCAATCTCCCAGTAACTTTGTGCGAGAGACCTTGCACGTTTGGGATTCTAATTGGCGTTTTGGAGAGACTCAAGGTGCCTGAGCTCTGCGCTTCTGAAGCTACCAGGAAGCCAAAGCCTCCTCGAGCAATCATTGTGGACCCTACTATAATAGCATCGAGATGAGGGGGGTCTGTTTTTAATTTTTGATTTACGAGATCGTTTGTAGATATTTCTTCTGGTAAGCCGTCTTGTTGGGGAAGTTCTTCTGGCATTGGAAGTGTTTTCTTTTTGAAGTCTGTCCACTGTTGCGACCACCTGGCAGAGAAGAATTCAAAATAGACAACTATTCCCACGGAAGCTTTGGCGAGAAACATCAAGCAGGCGTAGAATATTCCTTTCCATAGGATGGAGCCGGAAAACATTTCTGATACGGGGACGGAGAAACCTATTGATGCCTATTTTGTGTTAGACGCGTGTTCGTTCGGCAACTTTCAGCCCATAAAGATAAAGTATGATATTTGAAAAGGTAGTAAAAGCACTTACGAAGAAGAAGGGCACTAATATATGATCCATAATCGGCTTATAATACTCCTCAAACATCATAGTAGGCCGATCAATACCCAAATCCATATCCTCATCACCATCTACACTTTGCCAAGTGTATCTCACCACAGCACCAGCTAAGAATGCAGATAGTAATATCGAACCCTCTACACAAGCAGCAATAGTTACAAGAACTATAAGCATCAAAGTCGATAATATAAATCCAGTATGCCGTGAAATCCCCTTTTCGGTATCAATATCCGCACCAAAAGTTTTTGGCCAACTTTCGGATATGTAAATATCAAATGGAAACCGCGAAGCAAAAGTTTGAGAAGAAATGGCGTTAGCAAGAAAGTGGCAAGGATAAGACCCAAACTGGACATAGCAGGACGGACAATTGTCCAAGAATCGGATTGGCCTTGTCCAAGTGCTGTTATGATTTCAACCATCACGAGAACAAGAATATCATCTATCATTGCCGCGCCAGCTATCAAAGTACCAATTGGTGTTTTTTGAAGGTTTGCGGATGCGAGAATAATGAAAGTTGACCCTAAGGATGTGGAACAGAGAGATACTCCTGCTGAAAAAGCTGCTATTGCGGTTGGATATCCTGAACCTTCAATACTGTCGAATTCCATCCCCATGATGCAAAATGAAAGAGCCATCGGCATCAGGATTCCAATCATCGCAGCAGACAATGTTAACCATATTGTGTTTCTCAATATATGAAGATCTGTGATGAGACCACCTTCGAACACCAAACAGATAAGCCCGAGATATCCGAGATATTGTACTGTTTCTTGGATTTCTATGCTGAGAAATGAAGTTCCAGTGATAGGCATTCCAGAGAGAATCCCGATAAATATTTCCCCAATGAGTCCGCAATAGAGGAAAGAATCGAGAAGGTCGCGGGTTACGTTGAGAATGAATATGAAGATAGAGAGAGGAAGTATAATGTCAAGCCCTGGTTCGATATAAGGAAGGTATGGCATCTCTTTTGAGTTTGGAAGTTTGTAATATGAACAAAATGAGAAAAGGATTTGGGACAGGTTCTTAATGATGAACTGATATACCTAAAAATACGAGTATCAGAAACAAACTAATGAAATCTATTATCTCGATCATCATCTAAAATGTTCTCGTAAAGTAGATCCTCACCTTCCAACACAATGCTGCCTTATCAGATGGCGTCGTATTCAACAGCCCATAGGGTGAACCCCAGGTTGTCTCTTCCCGTTCCATGCTCTTCGGTGTAGTTCAATACACGTGCAAAAGAACCAGCTCACCACTCGGGGAGTTTTGTAGATGTATAAAGGTTGTCATTGACTCACCTGAGTAATTTCTTATGTTTTTGTGATCTATCGCCTCGTACAAAGCGTAATCACTGTTGAAGATGTTAGACGAGTTACATAAGGGGGGTAGGACAAGGGACTTTTTGAGCGGAAAATAATACTGTGATCAATCTGATAGCTTTGTCCAACAGTTTCAGATAATGTCAGATTTCGATGCGTTATCTGATCGTCAATATCTTAGGATAAAGTTTTGCCAGATGAAGCTATGTGCATTGGTTCGTTCTAGCTCCCGTCATTTAAGGGACTTGCCATCTGACTGGTATGGTATCTTACGAAAATACATCGAGGGCTGAGCTTTTCTGACTCGAGATACACTCGAAATATCAACGGTAACTGAACGGGATTATGGGGGCCACAAGTTTCCGACTAATTTTTCGATTGTTGAAACTTCACAAAACGAGGAATTATTTATCCTCAACCAGAATTGGGAACATCGTATGAATTTCTTTTAACGCATATATAATGAAATAAAAATTAAAAAAATCCTCAAAAATAGATCAATGATCGAGGAACATATTGGAATGAAGTTGGTTTGTGATAAAAACAGAGCTTTTGTTCAGGAATTGTGGATATCACCACCATCACTCTTCACCACTGCCATACTTGCATTATCAGTACTCACAATCATTGAATTTCCTCCGTGAGATCAAATCGAGGATTATGACACTCCGGCTCCGGCTCCGGCTCACTAGCCTAGTAGGTGACCTTTACCCACATTCACTACACAGAAGAATCATCTTAGTTCATGATCATAAGTAGTAGATGTCCATCGACATTGAGCTTCTTCCGTCAGTTCGTAGAAAAGCATGATGAAAATTGACAACATGGCATTTAATAACAACAAGAAAGGCAGCTTTGAAACGGGCAGAACAAGCACCGGAGCAAAATATTCCTGTAAGAACTCTTCTTCATTGCTTTAAAAAATCAAAATGAATAAATGCTGTGGCGAAGTGAAAGTGCCCAGGTGGTAAATGATCGATGTTGATCGATTACAACGAGAGCTTGTCTTCTGATTAGACATTCAAAGGTGGCATGTAGTAGTATATTCTTGAACTCCATGTCGAAAGTTTGAAGGGAAGAGAGGGAAAAGTCGAAGGAATAACCATCATGTTCTTTCTTCGCTGTCGCTCCTGTCATCCACGCCTTCGGATAATTGCACACAAGCAGGTGTTTTTCTTTCAAAGGGCAAAAGGACAAATTTTTGGAATCGTTGATCAAGCAGAGGAGTCCCAAAAAAGTTGGACAACCATCCCCACTTCTAAACCCGCCAAAAAGCCCTGCTTCTCACAACACAAGAAAAAGACCTCTTCTCACATACTTCGGAAGAGGTAAGAAAATCAGAAAACAAACCAAAAGCAAAAAGGATTTTAATTGATTGCCCGTTCTAGGAATCGAACCTAGGATCTCATCATATCACGTGATTTGTCACAGGTACTAGTGATGCGCTTTACCGCTAAGCCAAACGGGCTGTCTTGACGGAAAGGCGGCGCGGTTTGTAAATATATAATAATACGAACTCTGTGGCCTGAGGATTCGGGGCAATTCAGCACGGTGCATGTGGACAATTGAACTCATTCTCGATAAGAAATCGTGTCGTGATCACATCAGAATACCTTTTATGAAATTTGTCGATAGTCTACAACCGAGCAAAGATTGATGATAATGATTATCAATGTATCGCAGGGTATCTTTTCAATCACCTCATCCAAGTGTTGTAATTGATTTCAGATCCCAGTGACATAATAATTCTATCTTGGAGCTAGACGCGAATCGCGTCTCTCCCTATCAAGATCAATCAAGACCCTCTTCCCCACTCTTTCTAACATACTGGTGCCGGCATAACTTTTTCTCGGAAATGTAGTTGTCGTACACAAAAGGGAGAAAGCTCCAAACCTCTACGATTCTCTGAGGTTTGGCAATGGAAACCAATTCTCCACCACAGTGCAATGCACTGAATGTTTCTGATGAGAAGCGATGCTTGGAAAATGCCACATCTGTGAATGGATTATTTTGTAGCTTCCACTCTAAACAATGTCAAGGTATATCACCCAGAAACACCCCGGAGAGAGCCGAGATCTCAATATCTGAAAGTATTCAATATTTGCAATCCCTTTGACATTCTGCCACAAACCTCCATGGAGTTCAACACAATTAACAATGACCTTCAGGTCTTTATCGTGGGTACAAACTTCGTACAGCTCGACTTGAACGACTAGACAAAACCCCGCCCCCATACCTTGCAAATACGAAAACTGCTCTTGGAAATGAGACTTTTAAGGATGTGACAACGGAGGCAGAATGTAAGGAATTGCATGATTGGTTATGGACCAAATATCAGCTACTAGAAAGAGTGATAAGAGCAAGAAAGCTGCATCATAGTCGATTTTTCAGTCATAACATGGACTATGGGCATGCGAAATTCTTGGACCAGCTTAAGAATCAGAAAATACATGTTACCTATGCATTAGAAAAACTCGAAAGGAGAACCACAGAGGTGTGTCAATATGCGGCAATCTTTGCGGACTTTGTGCTGACTATATTTCTACAGATTTTATATCAAAACCAACAATGGTTCAAATGGGTACGAGAATGCCAGGATGATGAAGAAGCACATCGGGGAAAAGAACAAAAGAGAATAAAGCAAGAGGCACAGCTATGGCAGAGGAATTGGAAGCAAGCAAAACAAAGGATGGAGGAGAAAATGAGAAGGGAAGAGAAGAAGAAACAAGATAATTTTCTGGAGAGAATTTACAAGGAGAAGATGAAGGATATAGAAGAGAATGAGGGTACAGATGACGATATGGATTGGGATCCTATCGAGAATGAGTTGGAGGATGGAAGAGGAAACTTTATAGGTATGTTGATATTGACATCACATCTTCCACGAGTGGAGCTACAAATCCATGCTTCACATTTCATATCCCAAATGCTAACTGGCCATTCCTAAAGACCTCATGCGGCATTTCCTATGGATATCCTCGGGAAAAAATCTAAAACCCGTCGAACCTTCATCAACGGAAATTGACAAGGATATCTTGATCGAGAATGATGTAGCATTTCAGAAACCAAATCTCAAGTCAAATGGTACCGACGAACTTGCCGAGCTTGTGGCCCAAATCGAGTCCGCCGGTGTTGCCGAAAAGTCGAAAAAGAAGAAAAAGAAGAAGAATGGAGCAGCTACGGCAACTACGGCAACTTCGTCTTCTCTTTCCACAAAGACAAGTAACCCAACACCCAAGCCACAAGAGTTATCTGATAAATCTCTGATCGAAAGTCGAGAGGAGATGCATCACAGGTTGGCTCATGGAATAAAAATCGACCTTGATGATGTTCGGGGGCCCATGGTAGCTGGAACGGTGGAAAATCCTCACGTCCAAACAACAACACGAACGTTTACAGAATTCGAAATCACACGCCTGCTTGACGAGGTGTCCGAAATTAAGCACTTATTGTTCTGTAGATTGTTACTTGCACACGCCGCTTTACTTCCGGCAGCTCTTCGCGCTGATAGTGTCGAAGCTTTCTTTCAAGATGAAGAAGTGACTGGCACCGCCCTGAGAGATGTTTGTCTCAAGATGGAAAAACCTAGTCTTCAAGAAATCCGGGATGCCTGTGCAGATTTTTTTCGATCGGATGAGGAAAAGGAGGAGGATCCCGAAATCAAGACCCAGAGTGAGGTTGTTGATGACGAAAGTTCTGAACCTAAAGCTGTTGATCCTTATGATGTCAAGATGAGGCTGAGCCGGAAAAAACGTGGTGAATTGCCTGGAACATGGCGTTCAAAGCGGGAGCTCTCTCGAGAAGAGGCGGCTCAAAACATGCTTGGAATGGCTCCATCTATGCAAAACATTATGGGGGATATGGAGGGTGGTGCGATTGATTTCGGCGATTCCACAACTTTTCAGCAGGTGCGTAAGAAGATCCGTGTGAAAATTTGTGGTAGAATGATCTGGAATTACCCGAGTGATAAAGCAATGACTCGTGGAGGTTGGTTACACTTCTCGATCATCGCAAGGAATAGTAATCTCAATACTGCAATTGAGTTATGTCGAAATTGGGAAGAGTTCTTTGAGTTGAACATTTTGGCTTGCTGGGGTTACTTTCCTGCTTCAAACTGGGCTTCATGGGTTGGAAATAGATTGAAGCAGCAAGCTTTACAACTGGTGAGTTTCGTCAATTCTACCTATGAACGCTCCATTAACAACGCGATAACTAGGGCTTCATTATGTACTACGAAAGTTCAGATCCAGATGCCAAAGAGCTCAGTGTTAGTTTCTCACAAGGAGGTCGTAGCAAACAAACCCGTCGTCAACATGCTATATTCCAAGCAAGGAACGTCATTTGTGCCCACATCAAACGGAACGATCCATCAAGTCGCCGTTTTATTCAATATCTGTCGATGCAAAGTCATCGTTTAGTTCTGCTTGTGAGAGATGCTGAAAGTGGTAAGTTGTTAGTAAAGCCCCCCGAAGAAGAGCGATGGCTATGGCGAGAAAAGAGCGGTCTTGGACGAGCTGTCAAAAATGTATGGAACGTCCTGAAAAGTATCGGACCTGAATTCTTTGAGGAGATGGATCGTCATCGCGAATGGAACTTTTCGTTCAATGATTATTACGATGTTTATGTTTGGGATCTTGAGCCTGGAGAAAATTTAGCTCCATTGTATAATACTGTTCAACAGGTCAGTCGTGTCATCTAGTGACTTTCTCAACGCTGTACTAACAAAGCTTAGATGCTCATCAAAGCCATCCGGGCTACCACGGGTAAAGACATGTACAAGCCAGCTGCTTCCATTCTAAAAACGCTTTATCGAGACGAAGATAGCCATTATAGGGATTTCAGACCAGGTGATCCCGAACAGTTCGTAAACCAATGGGATTATCTTCAAGAGGATAGATCAAAATTCTATTATGGTGACATTGATGGACCAGATCGTATACCAACTGTGCCAACAGACTCATGGCCAAGTAAGCTCTTTTATAATAAGGCAGATGCTTTAGAGGATGAGGTCTTGTTTCCCGAGGAGCGAGCAGAAGATGAATCTATTGTTCAACCGGCCGTTGGCAAAAAGGATTCATTGAGAGCGTTCGAGGAGGAAGACTTTTCAATGAAAAGATTCGTAGATGGAACCTGGAATTGGGAGTCGGAAGATTCCGAAGATGAGGATGCGGGCGTCAATCAAAATTCTGAAGGTGGATGTCAAGGGCATCACGAAAGCCTTTTCGGGGACGACAGTGATGATGGGGAGGAGGATGATGACGGATTTGACGTCTTTCCAAAGGAGTTTCCTAAAGATCTCCGGCCTACTGTACACAGACTTGCCATGGAGAAGACGTACAAAGATGACTATCCCAATGAAGATCTACAAGAAGAATTTATGAAGTTCATCGAGAAGACATCATCTAGAAGTATGATAAAATCCTCTCCTCACATTTATAATCGAAACTAACTTATTGAATAGATTTCAAAAAAGCGTGGCATCAGGCAGACATGACTCCCAATGGGCAGGAGCAGTATTTAGAGATGAAGAAACTGACCCACCGATCCTGGAGATACAATCATTCTCGTAGACCTTTCTTCAAAGCATCTTCAACAATACTCAATTTTCGAGTAATGAGTTGGCTCAAAGTGGAAGCCGATGATGTCAAAGATGCAGAGAAAGCTACGGGTAAGATATATCCATTCTTTAATTCGGAGTTCCTTGACACGGAAGTGGGAAAGGGATTCAAAGAATCTTTGATTTTCAAGCAGGAGGAACGAGCCCGGAGTTATCCAGACATCAGAACAGATAAATCTACAATCCGCCAGCCCAAAGAATTTTATGCCGATCTCGATGGATTCCGAAAGAAAATGCGGTCCACAGACGATTATTCGGAATTTCCTCTCGAATGGGATATGACCATTCGACCTATCATTGCAAAACGCAAGTTATCCCACATTGGTGTATGATGTACATTTATCAATTAACACGTGTTTCATAGTCTACAAGTCTGGGATTGTTCGCAGTCATGCATCATCAGCAGCCAGCTGTCAAGCATTTCAAGGTACAGAGCCGCATCGACCTTCCAAGCCCGATCTCTTTGTCGATTGGCGTACGGTGATTCCGGATCTCGAAATGCCAAGCTGGATGGAAGATCCCTTCAAGATCCCACCTCTCCTTAATACCGCCCAAAAATTCTCGACTTCCAATCCTAATGCCAAATTCGCTGTACTTCGCTTATGGAGTGCCCCCTACTTTTATCCTTTAACGGTTGGCCACGATAAGCGTGATAATTTTACCTTTTACGATCTTACGGGTCGTATGTTTACTTGGTTATTTGTTCCGAAGGATCTACCGCACTCGGAATTCAGTATGCATGTGAATTGTAAGAATCGAATTGAACCATTCAAGAAACAGTTTGGAGATAAGGTGGTGGCGAAGAGGGATAAGTATTTGGTTATGGGGAAGGATGAAGAGGAACTGGCAAAGTATGTGGCGGGAGTGACGTTTGCGGTTCAAATGAGACCGTGGAGACAAGAGGTGGATTTGTGGAGGAGTTTTGTTAATGTTGATATTAAGTTTTTGGAGGGGATGGATGAGAGGTGGTGGGATTAGAGGGGGTGATATCTTTTTGGATGTTGGGATGATGATGATTGTGGAAAAATCATCTAGTAATAGTAATACCATAGCAAATTTTGTGGTGAGGGGGTGTATATCTTCCTTTACTTTGAAGATTTAGAAGTTATTGTTCTGACAAGTGGAAAGATGCGCGTCAAATGGGAACCACAAAATTCTCGGGACTATCCATAGTAGACCTAGATTCTTGATGTCAATGTAGAAATAGAATCGAAAGAGATATTAATTTCAACGCATTGATTTTGATTAGCTTAGAAGGAAGTGAAAAATGTCTTTGAAGAAATTGGATGGATGGATAGATAGATAGATAGATAGATAGATAGATAGAGTCTTATTTGATGTTGATGTTGATGTGATGCGATGGGATAGAATGGGATGATTGGAATTGATTTGTTATACTGTGTAGTATGTTATATATAGAATGTGACATTGTTGTTCGCGCCTGATATGCTGGGTGGCTGGGTTGGGTTGGTTTGGGTGAATGTTGTAGGCATATGTGCTTGTGTTTATGTTTGTTTACGGGATTGTGGTATTGGTGTTGGTGGTATTATTATCGATGCTATTGTCATTGTGATTGTCATTTTGTTTTACATATTAATTATTCAGTGATTTATTCGTTCATTTATTCATTTAGGTATTTATTCATTTAGTATTTATTGATTCATTTGTAACCTTGACTAGGTGGATAGGTAGGTAAATAGACCCGAAGACTCCGTACATCATCATTTATTCATCTACAGTGCAATGTTACACATAAACTCAAACATATCTATCATCCTTTCATTCATTCATTCATTCATTCATTCATTCATTCATTTACTCTCCAATAACATATGTACACCCCTCATCACCAATCCACACTTCATGAACCCTCCCCTTCTCCACATCAATCCTCTCACCCACGCCATAGGTGACTTTTCGCGCATCCTTCTCTCGCGGATAGGTGATGGTCAATTCCCCTGCGGTAACAAGATGGGTGGTAAGGGTGTGGTGGGAATGGGGCGTGTAGTGGGTGTTTCTGGAAATGAAAGAATGTGTGAGATGAAAAGTTAACTCAGCCTTGTTGTGGAGATAGATGGGTGGAGGGGAGGCTGTGTAGGTATGTAATAGGTGGGTGTATGTATGATGGATGTACAGTAGACAAGTGGAATGAATGAATAAATAAATGGGTTAAGCACTTACGGGCCATCGGACCACGTGTATACGGTTGAGAAGCCCCAGGAACGAACTTTTTGTTCGGGTTGAAGGATTGATTGTGAAGTCATGAATTTTTGGGATGAAGGGGCTTGGATTTTTGTGTGTGTGAATATGGATGTGAATGTGGGTGTGGGTGTGTATGTGTACGTATGGATGTGTATATATTGTGGCGATGTATTTTGTGATGTGGTGTGATGTGATGATATGATGTGGTGTTGTTCAATTGTTTGAAGTTTGAGGTTTGAGGCTTGAGGCTTGAGGCTTGAGGCTTGAGGCTTGAAGTTTGAAGTTTGAGGCTTGAGGCTTGAGGCTTGAAGCGAATTGAAGAATCTATAGCTAAATACCTACCTAGTAATTAATTACTTTGTAGGTATTACCAGATGAAATGATTGATAATACCCAGGCTCGCCAGGTATCTCCCTAGTAGATACGACCTGAACTACTCGATACTCCATAAAAATCCACCCCGAATAAAAGCTTGATAGTTGTAGTGTGAACCATGAACCATTCAGCGTACTTGGCTTTGGGAGAGTTTCATAGTTCAGCGCTTTGTTAGCTTTCTTAGCTCGATTAAGGGTTTCAACACTACACTGTCATCCGGCTGATACGATACCAGTACTGGTGTGGTATGGTGTGGTATGGTGTGCTGTGGTATGGTATGGTTACTGGTATCATGGATGGTTATGTACCCAGGTATCTACTAGGTACCGAGGATATCAAAATGTCAAATCAGCCAAGCAAATACCAATCAAAGAAAGAAAAAAAGGTACGGGCCGGGATGGTATTAAGTGGATGAGTACTAGGTAGGGAGTAGTAGGTATTGAGTGCTGGTTATTGAGTACATCGTAGGTAGCTACTGACTGGGTAAAGAATCAAAAAAACAAAAAGCTTTAAATAAGTCATCAACTTAAAAATAGGTATATACCTAGGTCGGTAGGTACCTAGTATTTATTCATCCATCCATTCATCCATACACAGTACATGAATATGAATCAATATTCACTCTTACCCACATCTTGCGCCTTTCTCTCGTCTCGTCTCTTGTCTTAGGCATTTTCAATATTATGGATGATTCGAGGTTCGCGGTTCGAGATTCAAGACTCGAGATTCAAGATTCGAGTTTCGAGTTTCTCGCTATACACCCATCCATCCTCTTCTGTCTGACGTTAACCCGTTACCCATCAGATCAACCAATACCCACTAGCCTTGTCAGCACTATAAGAATAGTAACAAACTTCATACCAGCCAGACACTCCGTACGTAGGTAAGTCGCTACTAGGTAGGTAGGTAGGTAGGTAGGTAGGTAGGTAGGACATTCATTTGTACCCAGTATTAGCTGAACGAGAGCCTCGTTTTATAGCCCCCTTCCCTTGATCCATCCCGATGAATCAATCAATTTCAATTAACTTTCCCTGATTTTATATGTCAGGCTCAGAAAAAGAAAGTCATCATTCCTTCATCATACACACACCACACACACATACACACATACACACATACACACATCACCCACACACATACACATACACATACACATACACATCCATACCTAGTACACTCATTCATCATACACCTACTACTCATGTAGCTTCAAAAATCTCTCTTTTCATAACTTCATGGTAAAGGAGAAATGCCTTCTTTTTTCAGAAAGAAGCTTCGGAGGTATGTGACTTTTTTATTTTATCATCTCCTTTGATTATCCTTTCCACCCTTCCACCCCACCAAGCAGGGCTACACTTAATACCATTGAAACACGTCAAGAATCATCGGTATCCGTAGTTCTCGCGACATGAGTTGCATCCACGATGGTCCAAGAAACTTGGATGATAGACCCAGTGTCTTTGCATTCATTTGTGGTTCCCGTCCAATTTGTTACATCATGACTCAGTTGCTAATATTACCATTGGTCTGCACTTTAGAATAACTACCATGCCTCTCCTCACTCCCTCCGGTAAACACTTCTCTCTTCACAAACTCGTAGCTATGTCGACAATGGTTACGCCTGGTCATGGAGTACATCTTCAACCCCTCAATAATACCACCGCAGGAGATCCTCCCCGTCAAGCCTACCTCTCACATGAAATTCAAGAATATTTACGAAAGCTTTTCGACGAATTATCGGGTTCCGAATCATGTCTAGGAAGGGAACGCTTCGAGCAGTGGTTGGCAGATGTGCAAGGCCATACAGTCAAACTCAATAAAGATACATACAAAGTCGAAGAATTTCTCGAGTCCCTATTTTACAGTCATTCACTCGAGGTGTTGAAGCGCATACCGGAATTAGATCAGTCCAAACCAATCACCAACTATTACATCAGTAGCAGTCACAACACATATCTAGAAGGAAATCAGTTATTGTCGAGGAGTTCCACGGAAGCATATAAAACAGTCAGTCGATCGATGATGATTTGATTCGGTTTCCTTACTAACTGCCACCTCCCATTAGGCTCTCACACAAAATTGTCGATGTATTGAAATAGATGTACACAATGGAGAACTACCAGACAAAGACGACAAATCCATATTTTCGAATAAAGCCGATCATAAACGACAACCTTCAGGAACAGGAAGTACGCTTTCCAGTAGAGCTGCGGCAGCTATATTGACGGTGGAAGAGAAGATGGAAAGTGCCAAAGAAAAGTTAGAGAGTGCGAAACAAAAGATTACAAAATCGAGTTCGGGAGATAAACTTAAGGTTTTGGATGAGGATGAGAATGGTGGGCGACCAGCCTCGATACGATCGTCCATGCTTGGAGAGCCCTTAGTCCTACACGGTTGGACCTTGACAGCACCAGTTGGATTTCGAGCAGTCTGCAAAACGATTCGAGAAAATGCCTTTACCACAAGTCCACTTCCCATTATAGTCAGTCTGGAAGTCCATGCCGATCATGAACAACAGGAAGTTATGGTTGATATTATGAAGGAGGAATGGGAAGGTCTCTTACTCGATTCTCCATTCGAAACATGCAATCCGGAGGAAAGAGTTCCAAGACTCGACGAACTTCTCAACAAAATTTTGGTCAAGGTCAAAAAGGCACCGGAATTAAAAGAGGCACCAGAAGCCTCGAACGAGACTACGAATGGTTTGCCTACGAATGGACTATCGCCCGCAAGCACGGATACTTTAGAGAAGAAGGCATCATCCAACACATTGGTACCGGTGATCTCGAGGAAAGATGCAGACTCTGGGCAGTCCGGCTCCGAAGACGATCGAGGAAGTTCGAAGAAAAAGGCAAAGATCTGTGATAGTCTCAGTAAACTCGGAATTTATACTCACAGCGAACATTTTGTCTCATTTGATGTAAGAGCGGCCACCAAACCCTCTCACATCTTTTCCGTTGGCGAAAAAGTGATCAACGAGCTTCATGAACAGAAACGGGAACAGATGTTTAATCATAATCGTAATTTTTTCATGAGAGCATTCCCAGCTGGCTCACGATTTGACTCATCCAATCTTGACCCTTCGGTCTGTTGGCGTAAGGGCATTCAAATGGTTGCTTTGAATTGGCAAACATTGGATGAAGGTATGATGTTGAATGAGGGAATGTTTGCCGGGTCTCAAGGATGGATATTGAAGCCTCCGGGATATCGCAGTGAGGACGTAAAGTCCGATATATGGTCAAATATACCCTACAAGACCCTGGATTTGAAGATCTCCATATTTGCAGGCCAACAAATCCCTTATCCCGAAGGTGAGACGGAAAAGGGCTTCCATCCATACGTCAAATGCGAGTTGCACGTCGAAAGTCAAGAAGAGCTCAACGGACAACCAATCGGAAATGATGTCAAGGCGAAAGAGGGCGAACACAAACTCAAGACTGCCTATAAATCGGGTAGTAAACCCGATTTCGAAGGCGAAACCCTTCATTTTGAAGGTATTAGGAACGTGGTGGAGGAGTTAAGCTTTGTCAGGTTAGTACATGTCACACTAATTTTCTTCAACATTTCTCTATTTATACTTCCACAAGTTACATATGCAGGGAATTAGACAAGGTCTACATTCACATGATTCGATAACCATTGTTGATGAATCATAAACCTGCTATTATCTCACACCGCTCAGAGTCCCAAAAGCTTTCACCCAAGTGCCTGGTACATATTACAAAGCTCAAATCGGAGCTTTTCAATCTCTTCAATCTTCAACAACGCAACGGCCCGGAGCCGGATGCTCAGTATCAATTCGGATTAATTTAAAGAGTGCAGTAGACCAACGGTCTTTTGACGCTTGGCTACTCGGGTGGGGTTCCGCTGCATACTTCCTTGTCGAATCAGTAGTATGATTGTCAACCCCATCCCGTGCATTGACGAAGTTCCCCAATTTAATGTTACACATGGCGCGTTCTCAACTGCCACACTCATAAGCTAGGGTTGTTTTGTGGTTCGACTTTCTTCCTTTCGTTGAAGTTTCGCATCGAGATGACATGCATGTTTTCATCACTATCACTATTACATCACTCGTGTTCTTCATCTATGGGACATAATTCCATTACTTACTGCACACGTCTACCTCATGTATGATGTGTGTGTATGCAATGATACCCTAGTCATTCATTTCTTTTCTCTTATTCTTTCTTCTATTCCTTTTCATTTACATTCGTCCAATCTCCATTCAATCATTCGAAATTCCCCTAAACTTCCTGCAATCCAGTTATCTGGACCATACATATCACGTCGTCTTTATCATCTTACTAACATTCTCATCACATAGATTTAAAATTGAAGACGCGAATTACTCCAAAGACGAATTAGCAGCCTGGGCATGCATAAGACTAGATCGCCTTCAACAAGGTTATCGACTGATTCCACTGAAAGATATCAAGGGGAATTCAACGCCAGGGCTTTTGTTGGTTAAGATTGAAAAAGTTCTTTCGTGATGGGGGGTCCAGAGGATGAGTGGGCCTAGATCGACTTCAATTGGAGATTGGGTGATAATATTAATGTATGATAGATGAGCTGTGCATTGTGTTGTATATATGTATGTATGAGTAGATAGCTTTTTTTTTTCTGTTTTTCATTTCGCCCTGCCTGCTGTATGACCAGGGGTCCGATCACGACAGTGGAGGGTAGGAAGAATATGTACGCGGGATGGATAGATGTAGTATGCCATAGCATTGCATCGCGTTGTACTGCATCACGTAATTATGTAAGTAACTAAGTGAATGAGTGTGTTGACACTTTTTCGGACAAGCGAGGGAGAAATTAATGTAACGAATTTTGAGGAGGGGAAGGGTTATGGATTGGGTTGGATTGGATCTGGAATGAAAGGAAGATGGGAGGGAATAGGAGGAGAGATCAATCCGAAGGAACATTCGATGGAAGAGCAAATGGGAGAGCAAATGGAAGGAAGTTGGAGAAAGGAAGGATACCCCCTATTAGTTCTTGATTATTTCTGAAGAATCTTGATACTTGGTATTTGATACTTGGATTTGTGTGTTGTGGTTTGTGATTTGGAATTTGTTTTCTATGGTTTGTGATTTGATGAATTTGTGATTTGATGGTTTATTGAGTTTTTGTAAGTATGTGGATGAGTAGAATGATTGATTGATTGATTTGTGAATTTTGAAGTGATGTCCATAGGTTTAGATAGATATTGCGATGTCGATTTTTCTTTTCTTTTCTTTTGCTTGCCTTTTGCTTGGGTTTCGGGAGGGGATTTTTACGTGGAGATTTGTCTGAGTTTGAGAGTTAATTATAGAGGGGTTTGAGAGTTGAAATGTGGGTTTGGGGTTTGGGGTTGAGGGTGAGGATGAGGGTGAGGATGAGGGTGAGTTGAAGTTTCAGGGGACGGGTAGGGGGGGAGCTTAAGATGAAGAATTATGAGTATGTGGTGTGTGTGTGTGTGTATATTATTTTGAATGTGAATTTTTTTCGATATATTGATAACTGGGGTGGGTTGATAGATAGGATTCATGAGATAGGTAGATCGAATCAATAGAATAGCCTGGCGCATAGGAAGTATACATAGATTCGAGATATATATATATCTATTTGATCATTTGATTTCCTATACAACAACAGATATCTAGGTGTGATCTATAGTGATGGGAGAGGGAGAGGGAGTGCGAGTGGGAATGGGATGGTAGTGTTCTAGTGTATTAAATAGTGTGGATAGCTGGAGATGCGAGAAGTAAAGGGAAAGGCAAAGACAAGGGTAAAAGGTTATAGATATTGAGATGGAGAAAAAATGAGAAGGGTAAAGCGTGCACGAACAAATTGAATGGTTTTCTGATGATGTCTTTCTTGATTGTTTCATTCTATATCCTATCAACCGAGCTGGTATGGCAGTGACAACTGCTCATTCATTTCCATACTCATCTTCTCAGCCGGTAAGCGATACATCACAAGTAGGTGACCCATGCTCACGAAAAATAGAAGAAAGAAAGGAGAAAATCTTGTGAGTTGTAATTGTTGAACATCTCACTTTACCTCCCCTACTTAGGTACCTATTTATGCATTCACATCCATTATTCGGATTTCCAAGAGAAGAAGTCGAAATCCAAAGAAAACTCAAAGCGAATGCGATGGCAAATCCCAGTCATCATTCCACTTGATACTGACAATCGAGACAGAGAGCAGGTACTGTACTACATTACATCACATTGCTTCCCGAACGTAGTAATGAACGACAAGACCTGAACTCAATCATGGACTCAAACGAACATCAGGGTTCAGTGAAGACTACCTCCTGCAACGGATGAGCTATCGAATGATATTTATCCACTTCGTAGCTGTTGCCATCCGAGCCGCCATGTAGACGTGAGTAGGGTATGCAACTCATGTTCACATATCCATATTTCCCATGCGTGTAAGTTGTCTAATTTGCATAATTTCCAAGAGGATGAATAAATAAATGCATGAATATGTTTTGCGACTTCCACGAATTCGCCTTTCTCGAAAAGGTAGTAGGCACACACGTATGCGTAAAATCCCTATGTGAGTGTTATTCATTTCCTGTGGCATGGGGAACAAGAGTGGGGTAAAGGGTTGTGTACGCAGTACGACACGACACGACTTCCGAGACACTTGAAGTAAATTCGGAGAATTCCATAGTGGCTGGTTGGCGTTCGGGAATTAGGAGCCGTATGTACGTTTTGTATCAGTGATAAGTGATGCGTGTGAATCGTTCAGATGAGACGATGTGTGAAAATGTTGGTAGAGTGAAGGGATCTTAGTTCTTCAGCGAAACAAACAAACAGGTTTTTCTATGCCAACTCCTCAAATCCACAATGTCATGCCATGTGGAAGAGATTAATTGGCATTATCTCCATTCGATTCCATCATGACATGATGCCAATTTGTTGATCGTTCGGATTGTGCGTATGAATTCTTTTCATTTTCTTCAATCTATTCCACGATCTAGAATCCAATAACGAACCTGAGCCGATGGTTCGTCCACCGCCACTTCGGATGCGAATCATCGAGCTAATGGCATCTGCACCTACCCGGCTCGATAAATTAAGAATCATCGGAAAACTCTTCCGAATTTTATAAAGGGGAAATTATTTTTAAATATCTCCTTGAACATGGAGCCTTAACTGTAGCACAGCGCATGCGTATAATTCCGATTCGATTTTCATACGATCCAGTTGCATTAAAACTGGACAATTCTTTGGAACTTTTTAGGCATGTAGGCCTGAATTCAATTTGGGGGCCATTTCTGCCAAATTTTAAATTGCATTCATGTATTGTACAGATAGTACGTTGCGTTGCGAGATTGATATTGCAACATGAAACCATAAAATAAATGAAGAAAAAAACCAGGTGACATGTCGTGGGATGGAAGTTTTGGAAACAATAAAAATTGCTCATCATGATGAGTTTGGCATCGAGAACGAGGATAGCGACATGAAAGTGGATGGGAGAATATGAAGCCAGGTGCGAAACTTGGCATCGGGGGAGGTTTCTCCTTGCTGTGAAGATAGATTCAGACTGGACGTGATGGTGTTGTTCCCACAACATTAGCCCGCATGTCCCATTTTGAAGTTCTGATAAGCCGTTGATGGAAACGGCCGCGCGGGTGAGGCGTAGAGTTGATTTCATCATAATGTTACTTTGTCTTACACGACGATAACCAGCAGGAGGAGACTGGAATGGGGATGAAGAAAGGCATCGTAGGGCTGATTGGGTAGGGTACGAAAGTACTTGGGGGCCAACAAGTGTGTTACGTGATAAGGTAAGAAGAATAGAATGGGTAGATTCTTTGCGTCCTAGGGAGGAGGATGTTGTTGTAGTATTTGGGGGAAACTGTATAGTATTGCTAACTTCAGCATGCACTTTAGACTGTGTAATTAGATAGTAAAGGACACAGAGCCGGGAACTGAGTTTGTGATGTCGCCTAAAATCTCTTGAATACTTCAGCTATACGGGACAGCCCGAAATCCTCTCCCGTGCTAAAATTATCTACGGGAGAGAGATTGCGTGAGTGTGCTCGCCGAACAATTGGCAGTCAATAGGAAATTTTATGAAACTTTTTAACACGTTTAATCGTCAGCTCATAGAACGACGACAAACAATACCAGGAGAAAAGATGTATATGTTGGAAATATTTGTAGAACCTGAAGAGGATTTGAACAACGAGGTAAGCCTATGCTGTCATTCTTTTGCACGTCAAACAGATGGACAGTCTACCTACAGTTATATTCCGCCTTACGATCCTGTCCATCACACTTCGAATCCATCTATACCAATCAGTTTTTCTTCATAGATCAGGCAGCGCTAACAAACAACGTGTTTACACGTGACGGAACTTTTGAATGCAGTCAGCTTACCTCCCCGCCCGCCGAGAAGAACAAGTGATGATTTGTGATCTATTTGTGCTTCCCATATAGCAATCGGTGTTAATGGATATATCTGAAATGAATCCGGAAGGTCAAAGCGGTACATTTAAAGCAATTCTATTTTCAGTGCGTCAATATCGTATTGAACGGCGGGTAAAAGAAGATGCTTCCCTAAATTCTTCTCATCTATGGACACTTTTCTCTTGCAAGGGATAGACTGTAGTTTTGACGATTTGCTATTGATCTCTCACGCCATCAGAAAGGATCTAAGTATTTTCAGCTGTGCATGAAATCAACCAACGTTGCAGTACCAAAAGCAAACATGCAGTCTTGACACATCGATGTCAGGGTACATACCAAGATGTTGGTTTCAATGCTTGATACTTCTACCATTCGTCGCTGAACGAATTGGAGATCTTGCAGAATCCTCATCTTATGACAAGGGGGTGTAGAGGTAATAATGAATCATGAAAGTGCAATATTTTGGTATGAGCGTCTGTCTCACCGACTCCGGCCGATGGATTACCTTGCAATTAATATGGAATAAACTGAAGCGGACTTCTTTCTGAAAGCCAAGAATCAAAAGAAAGCTTTTGAATGTTAGAACTATCAATCAGCGACCGGCCCTGGGTCAAAAGTAACAAATGAATATACTTGACAGAAAGTAGACTCACCCCATTTCCGTTTGGTAAGGTTATTGAATGAATGAATGACCTTGTAGTAAGGCTGAAGCGCGGCAATCTCCAAGCAAGCCTTAATTTATCTCTACGAGTATCACCTCTCCAAGTTTATCATAGCGCATGTGTCGTACATGAGTCCTCATGCAACTTTCGAACTCGGCACCCTGGCAGTAGACAGTAGAAAGGAGATGGTTTGAATGGAAGGATTCCGGAGTGTAGGATTCGGAAGTATTAGCGAAAGGCCGAGTATCGAAGGAGCTTTCCAATACAGCACCCAGGAATGTATGTCGCTTTTGTGCACATGGATTAAAATGAATGTTTATCTCCTCGTATCTCTAAGGGATTTGTGCGAGGAAGTCTAACTGACATTGGTTATTACTAGCTGAAGATAGATAATGATTATAACATCTCAATACCGTAAATATATACCTAGCAGTATATTTCGACCATGTTCGCTCTTCTTGTGGGGTTCTAGTGATACCTATACCTAGTAGATGATGACAAAGACGGTTATTAGTAATTGATGATTAACACACCTCGTAAATTCCGATTGAAAGAACCGAATCATATCATTGCGTCAATTCGGGGATTCGAAGCTTTTTATTGGTTCCATCCATAATGCGACACAAGTTCACAACAAAGCCGGAAAGGTCGGAGAAAGTAGAGTAAGCAAATAAGCAATTTTTAGTCCATTACGTTCCAATATGAAGAGGCAAAGAAATTTAGTTTGAAATTTCAAAATGAGCCATAAATACCTCTCCCTTGAAAAGTTAAGCAAAACTTATAAAGTCCTTACTCATCATTTCATCCTTCACTCTTGAACTTGATCTTGAGTACCTTTATTATTCATATATAATTAAATATTGAAAATTGACGACGTAATTATTTGTATTCATTCATATTATACCTAAGGTATATACCAATCCTATATATATGCAATCGGAAAATACTTGAAGAGGAAATCACTAGCTACTATCACGTGCTTTATCTCTCGGAATTTCGCGGTCTCCAAATTGGTACTGTACTGTACTGTTCATCCATCCAGTCCTATCCAGTTCAAGTCCAATCCAGTCCTACTGCTCCGTATAAGCAATCAACCTTCATCCAGATCCAGCCAGCCCGGGAAACGGTGAAATCATAAAATCAATCGACTAAAGAGCATAATAATTCAGCCGTTGACATTTTACATTTACATTTTATATTTACTTCATCCTTTTCGGTGGAATACTTTTACGAAGGGTTACTTTTGCCGATTTCCTCTATCCTACATACCTACCTACCTACTCACCACTCATCCATCCATTATCCTTACCCCAGTCACCATCAAAGGTCACGTCAACATTCTGATAAATCTATTTGTCAAGCAAATCAAAACTCAAGAAAGTTCGAAAACTATCAACACCCCCTCTCAAACAACTAAAGGTCCCAAAAAGCAATATCCACTACCTACTACTCTACCTATCGAGGTACGATTTTGATAATAACTTTCCAACATGCAATCAATCGCGCCCGCGCCGGTAGCACAAATGCAGAATCAGGTTCGTATTCTTATTTTCATCATGTTTACCTTTTACTTTTGCTACTATTATCAATCCTTCCGCATTCACTACTTTGCCTATAACTCCAGTGGTTCATGGTTCATGGTTCATGGTTCATGGACTTACCTCACTTGTCATACCCCTCCATTCAATTCCTTTCAACGTTCAATTCTAAAAACAGTCTCGAACTTGACCTTTCTCATTCGCGTGCTCGCAAACACAATGCAACCCTTCTCCCAAAAGATATTGCATCTTAAAGCTGACTCAGTCGCGCAGGAAATGAGTGCAGATAATGGTATAGCATCCCCTTCCTTCCTTTGATAACCAAGCACAACAACGGTTTCTTGTCCCCCATCCCAGTATAAGGTATATGCGGCTATACGAGTCGAGTAAATCAGAATTCTCTTCATATAATTTCTCGCCGCGATTTAAACCTTCGTCCCTACCTCCAGAGCACCACCCATGTTTATGTTGCTTCTTGCTGACGCGCCTCACTTCTTCCTCTAGATTTAAGAGCTCAGCTCTTGAACTTGACCTCGCAGTCTCAGCATCATAATACTCAGACACATGGCTATAATCACGAAGTGCAAGCTTCGAGTAGTGCTTCACCTCACGACCATAATATAGATCCTGCTATCGGTGGACAAATGATGTCGGAAAGCGGAGGAGACGACGCAGATGGTAGAAAGGGTGGAAAACGCGAGCTTTCACAATCGAAGCGTGCAGCTCAGAATCGCGCAGCTCAGGTTCGTAATTTTCATTCGTATCGCAATTTTTTATCGTTGGCGCATTCTTTGTGAGGTTGCTATGATGCGAAGTATCGCTCGTTAAAAAAAATAACGTCGGGTTGAGATTTATGGTTCTCTTGCTTTGTCAATTCTCATGTCATCCAAAAAAAATCCCATTACCCAAGCTTACATAATCTATCGCACAGAGAGCATTTCGTCAGCGCAAAGAAGGATATATCAAGAAGCTTGAAGAGCAAGTCCGTGATTTCCATGCATTGGAGGATAATTATAAGGCTATTCATGCCGAGAATTACTCTCTGCGCGAGTACATTATCCGACTTCAATCTCGACTTATTGAATCACAAGGCGAATTTCCACAACCACCACCACACATTAACTTAAGTCATCCATCGCAGCACCCTCATCCTCCACCACCTCAGCAAAGACAAATGGAGCCAATAGATCATATGCAACGACACGAAGCTCCCATTGCCCCAATGGCCCCTATGGGTGCTCTTCAACCTTCTGCCGCAAGAACTCTAGCAGCAGCAAGTCTCAAACATCCTAGTGAAGAGCAGCAAGGTCACCAGCAACAGCAACAGCAACCGCAGCAGCAACAGCCGCAACAAGCATATCCACCTCACCCAGAAAACAAACGATTTAAGGATGACGATTCTAATGACGAGAACCTCATACGCTCACAACTGGCCAGTGGACAAATACCCAATGACGGTCTACCAACTTCTATGTCTATGTAATACCTCATACAGGATTTAACTTGCTCTCCTTCTGCTTTTTAGGCGTTGATAAAGATGGAGGCTATTTGGGAGGGTTTGCTATGATAGGGCACATGGGTGGAGTTCCTACTTTTATATAAAAGTGGTACCCCACTCTCATAGGGGTGTTTCAATCAATCAATATTGCTGATTCTGCTTTTACCATTTCTCACCAAGGCGTTCATCCTTTTCTTACTTTTTTCAATGTGGCCTTCTTCGCTTCTTTCACATGTGTTTATTCATTGTGGTTTCTACATGGAGGTGTCTTTTTTTTCATTCGTAAGTGGAGTGGGAACACGGTCTGGAAACTTTCGGAATTGTGTTGAAAGAATGTTGATATGCATGTATGCGAAAAGACACTCAAGGAATAACAGTCAGCACCGGTGGCTTTTTTGGTGAATGAGTGGAAAGGCGGATGTTGAATGGATGGATGGATGGACAATATGCGCATGTGGCAATTATTAGCTAGCTAGCTAGGTAGCGTGCTTGCTTGTTTGCTTGTTTGTTTGTTTGCTCATCAAACAGCCAAGGAGATGAAAATTCAAGATTTTTAAAATACATTGAATGATATGATATGATGTTTGGAAGTGTAATTAATTTAGACCTTCCCCTCACCTCGCTTCCTCCCTATAAAGTGTAGTTTTAGTACCTACGCAGGTAGGTAGGTAGGTCTAGTATTCATGACGAAAAACTTTTCAAATAGGTACTAGGAATGTCATCTCTGTATCTCCTATCCCGTGTCTGATAGCTTTTATTTTCCTTTAGGTGAGGAGAAGCGAGGAGAGGTGAGGTGAGGTGAGGTAGATGGGGAGAGGCAGATAATCTTTAATTTATAAAGGGAAATCCGAAACCCGAAACCTGGAGGGAGGATGGGAGAGGATAGGATAGAAGCTTTAATTGTTATTGTTATCATCGTTATCATTATCATCACAAAAGGAGAAGAAGAGATGTAATAAAGTTAGGTAAATAAAGTCGGATAAAGATAGTAGTAATAATAATAAGATAAAATAATATAATAATTTCATTATTTTATCAAAGTAATTAACGCCTAAACAAATGAACCGAGTCGAACCGAACCAAATCCCAATTTTTGTGACTCGTTTTATCTCATCTCGTCTATTCTCGTCTTACTCACTCACTCCCTCACTCATACATAGATAGATAGGCAGGTAAGTGAGTAGGTAACTACTTGAAATGAAATGAAATGAATTGAATTGAATTGATATAATACGATAAGATAGAATATGCTATACTCTCTCTTCGCTTGGTGTGATTATTGATTTTGATCTGTTTGCTTGCATGATCGATCGATCGACCGATTATGAATATGCATTTCCGAGATCGTGTTCCTGCACACGTGTTAGTCAACTGTGGTGGTTTTTGTTTCTTGTACCTCGACTATCTGTCTATCGACCTTTTGATCTATTGATCTCAAGCCTGGATATGCATCGAGATCTAGGTCCGGATACAGAGGTTGGGGTGTAGAGATTTGATGGGAGATGATAGAAGGGAGGATGGAGAGATGAAATGAGAAGGGAATAGAGAAGAAATGAACCAAAAACCAAAAACAAAGAACAAAAAATAAACATACCTTAAGATACTCCCCGCCCTTCTCCTGATACTCCTCCCTCGTAACCCTCGCTTCCTTCCATCTCTCCCCACAACTCCACTTCGCAGCCCCTTTCCACGCATCCAACAATTGATCCTTTGCCCTACGAATCTTGACTTCCGTGCCCGCCTCCAAATTCGCTCTCAATCCCTCCCTCAATCTCTCATCGAAGTTTTGCCACATTGTGTTTCCTCCGGTCAAAAAGATATCTTTCAGGAAATCCTTCTGATTCATGCCCGCTCCTGAAATGCGCTGATTCAGTATATCGGCTGCGATCTCCACAATTCCGGCTTGATCCAGCCCGGCTATGCTGGGATTAAAAATAACTTCCGGGACGCGGATCCGTTCAACGTTGAGATGGAGTTGGTGGGCTTCGGCCGTGCTAGCTGGATTAAAGGGGCGCGGTCCGCGGAGGAAAGCATGGATGAGGGATTTAGTCCAATCGGTTTGCGCGTCGAAGGTATGTTGATCCGTGAATTCGGGATCGTATTTGAGGAGATCCGCTTCGAGGGTTTTGAGAAGAACACTAGGATCCTCTTCTTCTTCGTCATCACTGCCGCCGTCTCCAGTTTGGATAGTACGATAGACTCCCCAATCATCATCATTCTGACCGAAGTTATCGTCATCACCTCCGCGACGACGCTTTTTAGTCGGGTTATCGGATGCGAGGTTTGCGATACTCTTCATGCGGATTTGACTCGCGAGACTTTTTCTGTTTCCTAGGTCTGCTTTGAGACGTTCTCTGTCCTTGATCTTTTGAAGCATAGTAGCTCGAGCTTCTCGACGCTCTTGCAGCCAGCCTTCGAGATCATTTTCTCGCTTTTCATCATCTATGCGTTGCTCTTCGGCGATACGAGCCTTTTCTGCCAACTTTTCTGCCTTGGCGCGAGCGCGAGCTTCGTTATTGGATTTCATGAGACGTTGATGACGCTTTTGTTTGAGGCCAGCTTCGTCTAGTTGTTCATCTGGAATTTCAAGCATAGAGTAATCTGGTTCTTCGACTTCTTCCTCGATTTCTGGTCCACCAACATCCTTGGTTCGAGCCTTACGAATGCTTTTGTCAAGTTCCTTGATGGTTTTTTCGAGGGCAGCTTCGTCTTTCAACTCTTCGGCGTCAAGTAATCTTTTGATTTCCTTCTTTGTTTGATCTACTAGCTTGCCTTGTAAATGTCTGTAGTACTCAAGCTCCTGTTCTTTGCGAACTAATCTCTCAAGTCGCATTTTGGCGGCTTGTTCTTGTAATCTTCGCCCACTCTCCTTTCTCTTCTCTGCAATCTTGGCTAACTCCTCTTCACTCTTTTGTACCTCGATAACTTCTGTATATGGGTATTGAATGACACGGTCTCTGTCTTCTAATCCTGTCCAATCAAGATACTTGCCCACTTCCTCATCATAATCTTGTGATAGGTAACAATGATCTTGTACCATATATTCCATTTGAGTAGCAGCTAGCTTTCCTGGAAAGCTAGGATACTTTAATTTGATGAGCTTTAAAAGATAGTCGGCACTTTGTGATGCACCCCAATTCAATCTTGTTGCCTGGGTAAGCATGGCTTTCGAATTGTAAACCGGAATCAGATGTGTAGAGCTATGGGAAGAAGATACAACAAGTCCGGTCTTGCCCCCATTGTAGTCGTAAGAAAATAAAGAATCGATTCCGTAAGCTACAGATGGTGCTCCATAACATTCAAATATGATTTCGGTCATGGCTACCCCGTTTCGTTAGTAGAATTCGTAGGCCCAACGGGAAGTCCATACATTTCCTCGAGTACGGTAAGTTTGCGACAGCTTCCGTCATAACGATAGGCATGTCCACACTGCCTTCTGAATCGACGCCCAATTTAAGAAAGATACAATCCAGTACCTGCTCCATGACATCCCAATTGCTGACAATCCCGCTTCCCGCCTCAAACGCATTTCTCATGTGGCCCTTAGCTGTAGTATCTGCGTAGACATCGGCGCCAACGAACGAATACGTTTTGCCCATCTTTCTGTCTCTATATTTAGAGAAAAGCGGTAAGATATTGAGACGTGGTGAGTCCTCAAAGGACCAGCCAGCTCGAGTCACTGATGAGCCTGTAGCAAAGTATTAGTATCTTTGAGATATGCAAGTCATGATGCCCAGCGCAGAATTACCATTGTCAATTACTATCGCAGCTTGACCAGATCCCCGCGATTTGGCTGTTCGATATCCATCTGGCTGAGGCTCAACATATTTATCAAAGTGAAGATCCTTCGCAGGATATAGAGTAGGAGGAGGTATTGAGTTCTGTTGCTCTGATGCAGGCGCATCGAGGTCCATGGCAGAGGGCGACATCTTCCTGGAGAGGTAGTGGTTGGTTTTCGTTGCGGTCTAAATCATTGTTTGCATACTCTTGCGACAGAAAGAATCGATCAGATAATACACGTATTAACGAGAAGCTCTTTGGTGATAATTATTCCTCTTTATGATGTTGTCGCTTCACAAGGCTAGATTTTTGTGGCAAGGCTGAGATGCATGTAGAGTTACATGTGGAGATCACGATTAACCTTACTCTATCTCGTATATCTACAATCTACAGCACCAGATTTTGTAGGACATTTTTAAAAGTCGTGGAAATTATCTTTGTAAGTCATTAATCAAAAATCATCCTAAGCATCAACCTCCGCCAAAAAACGCCAGCTCCTTGTCCATGAAGACTCTCTTCAGTTCTATCATGATGGCTCCTTGAGACTGTCGGTAGCTTTCAACGAATTAGCATGAGTCTTGTGGCAGTTAAAATTAAGTACCTTCTAAATGAAAGAGAACATTGGATTGATAGTTCTTGAACATATCTGCAACCAAAACAACATTTGTGTTTGCATTATTGATCTCCTAATTCTGGTTCAGCTACATGTAATCATTTACCGACGATTGCTAGCCCGCTCATACCTGGAGATTCTTATTCAAAAGCATGATGGCTTCATTGAGTTTCTCCTAGCAGTTGAATTAGTGTGTGATATCTTGGTGGGTGTGCTTGAAATGCTTACTACGTTGGTGATGATTCGTGAGAGAAGCAAGTTTTGCTGGTGCTCGTGAGGATTTTCCTACATATTGTTCATTATCCTGTATAGAAGCTTAACATATTTAACCTTACCATAGTCTCTCCCGTTGATGTGGTTTGGTTTATGGAATGTGATATTTGACAAAGTCACTGTTTTGTTGATGTTTATAGTAAATATTGATACAAGTTTCATGCGTTGCCTGATTGGTCGGCTGTTGTGAAGCTCGAAGCTCAATCAACGAGGCGGAAGGAAGGCAGAGCAATTCAATTCAACTTCAATCAAACAATCATAAATCAACCACCAATCGTCATCAATCATGGCGCCAGCAACTCCAGAAGCTGAAGCTCATCAAGCACTCATCGAAAAGCTTGATGTCCACTCAATAAGAAAACCCTTTCGCAATACACACTGGAGACCCAATCAGCGTCGCAACAAGAATATTAAGACCATTCTCGGCGACGCCGTTCGAAAGGAAGCATCACTCATGCCAACACAAGATAACAGCGGTGCTGCAACACCTTTCTCCGAAGATAATGCAACCTCAACTGATGGTGATACGACACCTGCCCCTACGAGCGCTCCTACACTTCAACCAAATCTTGCGCAAGCTTCCAAGAACTTATCGAAATTGGTATTGGAACGAAATATGAGGACGAACGGCTTTTCTAATGCACCCACTGCAACATACACGAATATCGAGTCTGCACCGTCTCTAGCACATTCAAAGCATTATTGCGATATCACAGGATTGCCAGCTCCATATACAGATCCAAAGACGAGGCTACGATATCACAACAAAGAGGTGTTTGGGGTTGTTAGATCTTTAGGCCAGGGGGTTGCAGAACAGTATTTAGAAGTACGAGGAGCCCATACTATCTTGAAGTGAAAGGCGATTATAGTGCACTACGTTGGAGCATTTGGAAGAGGTGTAACGCTCGGCCTGGGCTTTGTTCAACACACAGCTCATCATATGCGAAGAATGGCAAGCGATGCGCAATGCGCGAAGGTTCAAGATGGTTACTCGACAATATTGGTGTGTATATACTGGCAGAACGATCAAGGGGCAAGGACAGACTTCTGGTTGGAAGATTTGTTTGATTGAGATGGATAGCATCGGCCTCCAAGGTGATTGAAGAAGAAAGGTTCAGAAACGGTCGAAATCAGTACGAGGATATGTCTGACCGACAAAGTCAAGCTCATTCTACCCACCAATCATCTTTCAATGATTGGTTCAGGAATACGCTCCGGCTTAATCGCGATCATGAATATTATCTGCCTACTCAAGTAGAGATGACGTGGTACCGAGAACATATAGAGAATGAAACTCAGTCACCAGGACAAATTGTCCTGGTTCGTCGTGGCAATCATAATACTTTACCTCATGCAGTGTGCAATAGGATTGATACTTCGGAGGCAGGTAAAGAGAGACCTGAAAGAGTATACTTCCTTTGCATTTCCTTCCAAATATTGTTGGTCGGCATATCGACACATCTTATGTTTTAGTCAACATTACTAACTGATGTATCGATTGTGGTTGTTTCAATGTCTTAAATTCAAAGGATAGCTTTGGTGAAGAATGTCAGACAAGGTGAGACTCGAAGAATCCGAGTAAAATTTATATTTAATCTTTTGTGGTCTGCATATGACGCTAATTCATGTCATGGGCACGGACGCGTCTAAGCCATGTTCTTTCAATGAACTCCAACAAAAGATCATTGAGGACAACTTTACTTCTACTACCAACTGTTGTATTACGAGTGTGCTTAGTAGAAATCTCCAAATACTTACGTATTGCTAATTCCGGGTTCGGAGGATATTCAAAATGCCTACCATGTGGTTATCAGATTCCCAAAGTACGTTCTTGACTTCAATAACCAGATGGTTCTGGACTATTTGCGCCGAGTTCAATTGATCCAGTTCCAAACATGCTATATTATTTCATAGGGTTTATGCTAATGGATACTCTGTATAGAGATTGGGGTAGCCTTTTGTTCAGGTGGTAGGTGATATTCTACGGTTTGTGCTTCAGATCTAGTATAGCTGATGAGGTCTTCAAAGGCGGGTTCTTCCTGATCGGAGGTGTGATGATGTTTTTTGATAGAGCTATGTATGTTTAAACTCTCCGTAAGATTCAAAGGAAGGTGGCACTAACAAATTTGTAGGCTCGCAATGGGAAATGTGCGTATTCTCTGGACCTTGAAACAGGACTTCCTGGCTTACAATATGTCGATGTAGATTCTCTTTTTAATCGGCTTAACTGTTATAATTGGACCACAAAAAACAATGGCGTTCTTTGCGCGGAGACAAAAGCTTAAGGGAACCGGAGCCTTTTTCGCTGGACTTGCACTCATCCTCATGAGGTGGCCATTTACAGGATTTCTGGTGGAATTATACGGCATATTTATCTTGTTCGGTGACTTCCTAGGGACTATAGCTGGGTTCGCAAGGAACATACCGATTATTGGCCCATACATTGGAGCCATGGTTGATAGAAGCGGAGTTGCAATGAGGGGAGCAGAGTTACCTGTTTGAGAAGGGGAGCAGGCAGATACCACGAAATCTCAACAAGAACTACGAAGGAACACGGAACATGTACACGACGTTATGGGACGAGATGAGCTGAGCTTGAATGACGTTGTGTCCTAGTTATTCACGAAGATTTAGATTGTATATGAAACGGGGGCACCAAAATGGCTCACATCGGGCCTTCTAATCAGGTATAGAATAGATGGCAAACAGTAAAGTAGAGCAGATGCTCCTTTATATTTCGCCAATGAATGACGAGGAAACATTGAAGACTATCAAGTATTTGTATTTGTACCATTCAAGTATTAAGACGTCGCCTTGAAAGTTAAGCCACTTTGCGACCTCACTCGCCAATATTCCCCAACCTCAAACTGCAATTTACATCCTCCAATTGAAACAATGTCTGCGAGAATGCTATCAAAAAAAAGAGAACGCCATAGCTAACCAAATACATCAATCTACATAGCCACGCAGCATGAGTTCTGCTTCTTTGCTTGTGCTATTTTATGTATTAGTAAAAGCCCTTGTAAATTCCCATCATAACATAGTAAACTCACTATAGAACATCTTGCTCTGTGCACTCAAGCCATCACTCTTTGCCACCAATGTATCAATCTTCTCGCCTCTCTCTAAAACACTCTCAATAGTTTTATGCAACACAATCTTCGTCTCATCCAATTCCTTTTGGATCTTCATGATGCTATCTGCCTGTTGCGGATCTTGGTATTTCACAATGTAGTCGTTCAGTTCGGGGAATGAGAGGGTTGGGCTTGAATCTGCCCATTCTGATTGAGGGTGTGCATTTAGGAACTCGTCGACGACTTTGGAGAGAAGTTGATGGGCAACGAGGGCTGGGTATTCGTGGTCGGAAATTATTATACCACAAACACCCTCGGAGCGTCCATAGGCGTGGAATGTGTTACCTGATATTGTCAAATAGAGGGTCTTGTTGTGATTTAGAGGAGTTGAAATTTACTATCTTGTTCAATGTCTTGCCTTTGGCCAGGCTTTGTTCGTTCAGCGACTGTCTTACTGAAAACCGTCATGAATTCGCCGTAACTGTACATTCATCCTATTAACCAGTCTGGTCCCATGTAAAACGATAGTAAAAATCTAACCTGTTTCTAGTAAATCGGCCATATGCGCTCAACTCTTTCACGCAGCAGAGCTCGTGTGAGGGGGTCTCCGAGTTCTTGATTATCTGATAGCGGTCAGCCTGATAACATTGTCACTGCGATATCTGCGAACGAACTCCGATATAATGCAACTTCATTTTTGCGATTTGGGGTTGATTGTAGATACGATTTAAATCTAGATAGCAAAATAAGGTGTGGGATGGGAAGGGTGTGGCTTTGCTTTGTTCTTGATGTTGAAACTCTGGGCTGTATCCTGTACAATCACATGGGGGCTACAGTATGACGACGGATTTTATTATGCCCGGTTGGCCCCACTGATTACTCCCCGCCGCGTGAATCAGCTAAAGCAGCTTTATTTATATTTCATGATATCAAAAACCAAAATTTTCATTGAACTTTACATTTTCGAGCAGTACATAAAGATTGTTTGGAAATCATGTCTCCTTTAACGCTGGACTCAGCTGAAGTGCAATGGCAAGCCCAACTTGCTGCTATGAAAAACGCCTTGGCAGAGTTGAATTTGCCTCCGAGCTCGACGAACGGGGAAACTAAATCATATGACATCGACGTTGTCTTCGACGACGACGATGAATTTACTTCCGGAAATAGCGGGGATGATGTTTGGGACTTTATTAGTGACGAGGATGATGATTTGTCCAGCAGTGATATCAACGACGATTTCCCTAGTCTTTCTGACTCCGCTGGTGCAGGCAACTATGGACCTCAATGGTTGAAGAGCAAATGTATGGAGATTGCTCAGAGGAAGCAGGGACTTTCAGGAAACGATCTCCAGGAACAAATCATGGCGATCTTAGGGTCTGATAGTGGTGAGGAAGAGCTTCAGTCCACTTTGATTGACATGATCGGCTTTGATGATATAGAATTTGCCATTGAAGTCATCTCCCACCGCAAGAATATTACCGCCGCTTCACGTTCTATTGGAACTCAAGATGACGGCATCTTTACTGGAAAGTTACAGACCAGAAAGGAACGAGAAGCAGCCTTACGACAGAGAGATTATGAGCATAAACATGCCGCACTAGGACCGTCCATTAATCGCTACGAAGAAAAATATCCCCACGTCTATAAGTCGCATCATGCTGGTAATATCCTGGATTCGAGAGGAAAGAAGTATGCTCTACCGGTGGGTAGTGAGAGAACAGAACACGAGAGATACTCGGAATATACTGTCCCGGCTGGAAAGGTTGGAACTTTAGGTGCAGGTCGAAGGCTTGTCGAGATTTCTGAGATGGATGGCCTTTGCAAGAGAACTTTCAAGGGTTACAAGTCTCTCAATCGAATGCAGAGCTTGGTCTATCCAGTAGCATACAAGACCAGCGAAAACATGTTGATTTGTGCTCCCACTGGTGCTGGTAAAACTGATGCAGCAATGCTTACGATACTTCACGCCATTGGTGAAAATGTTTCACCACATCCATCGGAGAACCCAGAATCTTCAGACTTTGTGGTCAATTTCAATGATTTCAAGATTGTCTATGTTGCCCCAATGAAAGCTTTGGCAGCCGAAATTACACAAAAGCTGGGTAGTCGTCTAGCGTGGTTGGGTATACAAGTTCGCGAGTTTACTGGTGATATGCATCTCACTAAGAAGGAAATCACCCAAACTCAAATTATCGTTACAACTCCTGAAAAATGGGACGTTGTCACTCGGAAAGGCACTGGAGATACTGAATTGGTTCAAAAGGTTCGACTTTTGATTATTGATGAAGTACATATGCTACACGATGATCGAGGTTCTGTCCTAGAATCATTAGTTGCCCGTACTGAGCGTCAAGTTGAGAGCACTCAATCTCTCATCCGTATCGTGGGACTTTCTGCTACCCTTCCGAACTACATCGATGTGGCCGATTTTCTCAAAGTCAATCGTTATGCGGGTCTATTTTATTTCGACGCTAGCTTCAGACCTGTACCTCTCGAACAGCACTTCATCGGAGTTAAAGGGAAGGCTGGAACCAGACAATCACGAGAGAATATTGATACAACTGCATTTGAAAAAGTCCGAGAGATGCTGGAACTTGATCACCAAGTCATGGTCTTTGTTCATTCGAGGAAGGACACTTTCAACACTGCTAAGATGTTGTATGAAAAGGCTATTGAGCAAGTTTGTGTAGACTTATTTGATCCCACTAATCATCCTCAATATGAAGCAGCTGTAAAGGATATGAAGAGCTCACGAGGTCGTGAACTTCGAGAGTTAGTACCAAAAGGTATTGGTATTCATCATGCAGGTATGGCTCGTTCAGACAGGAACCTGATGGAGAGATTATTTGGAAGTGGTGTTCTCAAAGTTCTTGTCTGTACAGCTACCTTGGCATGGGGTGTTAATTTGCCCGCAGCAGCAGTAGTGATCAAAGGTACACAAGTCTACAGTGCTCAAGAAGGTAAATTTATCGACCTTGGAATCTTGGACGTTCTTCAAATTTTCGGTCGTGCAGGTAGACCACAATTTCAGGATACCGGTATTGGTATGATTTGTACGACAGCAGATAAGCTTGATCACTATCTCCAGGCCGTCACATCTCAAGTCCCTATCGAGTCTCGATTCTCGAAACATCTTGTGGATAATCTCAACGCTGAAATCGGTTTGGGGACAGTCACATCGATCCCCGAAGCTGTCGCATGGCTTGGATACTCTTATTTATTTGTTCGAATGAAGAGGGATCCTTTGACTTATGGTATCGATTGGGCTGAAGCTCGCGATGACCCAAATTTGGTACAGCGTCGAAGACAACTATGCATTCAAGCAGCAAAGACACTTCAACAAAGCCAAATGATTATCTTCAATGAAACGACCGAGGAGCTCAGAAGTAAGGATGTTGGACGTATTGCAAGTCAATTTTATGTCCTCCATACCAGTATTCAGATATTTAACACCATGATGCAACCTCAATCTTCCGAAGCTGATGTTCTCACGATGATTGCTATGAGTGGAGAGTTTGATCAAATTCAATCAAGAGACAGCGAGTCAAAGGAGCTTACCAGCTTGAGAGAAGATTTCTCTCCTTGTCAGGTAAAAGGAGGAACCGATTCCTCACACGCCAAGACGAATATTCTCCTACAGTCTTACATATCTCGAGCCAAACTTGAGGACTTTGCTTTAGCCAACGATACGAACTACGTTGCTCAGCAATCAGCCAGAATTTGTCGTGCATTATTCATGATTGCTTTGAATCGTCGTTGGGGCCATCAATGTCTCGTGCTTCTCTCGCTATGCAAATCAATAGAGAAGAGAATTTGGCCATTCCAACATCCTCTTCATCAATTTGAGCTAGCCCAGCCAATTCTTAAACAGCTTGATGATAAGGAAAATCTTTCCATTGAAACTCTAAAGGAGATGGACGCAGCTGAAATTGGTGCCATGGTACACAATCCTGGTGCTGGAAGGACAATCTCAAGAATTCTTGATAACTTTCCTACACTGAGCGTGGAAGCCGAAATTGCTCCACTGAATAGAGATGTTTTGAGAATCCGTCTTTATCTCACGCCGGAGTTCAAATGGAACGATCGCCACAATGGTACATCGGAAAGTTATTGGATCTGGGTTGAGAACTCGGAGACTTCTGAAATATACCATCATGAGTTCTTCATTCTGAACAGAAAGAAGTTATACGACGACCACGAACTCAGCTTCACTATCCCACTATCGGATCCGCTCCCTACGCAGATCTATGTAAGAGCAGTTTCTGATAGATGGCTAGGCGCAGAAACGGTGTATCCAATTTCTTTCCAACATTTAATCAGACCTGACACCGAAAGTGTATACACTGATCTTTTGAATCTTCAACCCCTACCAATTATTGCCCTGAAGAATCCGGCCCTAGAAGAGATTTATGGCAAACGTTTCCAGTTTTTCAATCCTATGCAAACTCAGATCTTTCACACTTTGTATCATACACCAGCAAATGTTCTTCTTGGGTCACCAACCGGATCTGGAAAGACGATCGCTTGTGAGTTGGCTATGTGGTGGGCGTTTCGAGAGAAGCCTGGCTCTAAGGTTGTCTACATCGCTCCCATGAAAGCACTTGTTCGAGAGCGAGTTAAAGATTGGGGGGCTAGATTAACTCGACAAATGGGCTTGAAATTGGTTGAGTTGACTGGTGATAATACACCTGATACGCGAACTATTCGAGATGCGGACATAATTATTACTACTCCAGAAAAATGGGATGGTATTAGTCGTTCGTGGACTACGAGAGGTTACGTTCGACAAGTTAGCTTGGTTATTATTGATGAAATTCATTTGCTTGGTGGAGATCGTGGTCCCATTTTGGAGATTATTGTTTCTCGTATGAATTACATTGCAACTCAGACCAATAATTCAGTCAGACTTATGGGTATGTCGACTGCGTGCGCCAATGCTATGGATTTGGGAAACTGGCTTGGTGTTAAGGAAGGATTGTTTAACTTCAGGCATTCCGTTAGACCTGTTCCATTGGAAATTTTTATCGATGGTTTCCCAGAGGTTCGAGGCTTCTGTCCCCTAATGCAATCTATGAACAGACCGACTTTCTTGGCCATCAAAACGCACAGTCCAGAAAAACCAGTCATTGTTTTTGTTGCTTCTCGTAGACAAACACGTTTGACAGCTAAGGACTTGATTAACTTCTGTGGTATGGAGGATAACCCTCGTCGGTTTGTCAAGATGTCTGAGGAAGATCTCCAACTGAACCTTGCACGAGTCAAGGATGACGCTTTGAAGGAAGCCCTAAGTTTTGGTATCGGTTTGCATCATGCTGGTCTGATTGAATCTGATCGTTCATTGGCCGAAGAACTATTTGCCAACAACAAGATTCAGATCCTCGTTGCAACATCCACTCTAGCCTGGGGTGTTAATCTTCCAGCTCATTTAGTCGTTGTAAAGGGTACTCAGTTCTTCGACGCTAAGACTGAAGGATACAAAGATATGGACTTGACAGATGTACTACAAATGTTGGGTCGTGCTGGACGTCCTCAATTCGATACGTCAGGAATCGCTCGTATCTTCACGCAAGATTCAAAGAAAGCATTCTACAAACACTTCCTACATACAGGTTTCCCAGTAGAATCCTCTCTTCACAATGTCCTAGACAACCATCTTGGCGCTGAAGTATCCGCTGAAACCATTACTACCAAACAAGATGCCCTAGATTATCTCACCTGGACATTCTTCTTCCGACGTCTCCATAAAAATCCCTCATACTATGGTCTTGAAATCTCGGCCGAAGAACACAATACCATTGCTGCTCAACAAATGGCAAATGATTACATGATCTCAATGGTAGATAAGTCATTGGACGAGCTCGCCGAATCTAAATGTCTGGAAATCTACCCTAATGGCAACATCGATTCTACACCTCTCGGAAAAATCATGTCCTACTACTATCTTTCTCACAAAACCATTCGTCACCTAGTTAAACATGCTAAACCAAATGCTTCATTCCGCGATGTACTTTCTTGGATGTCTTCCGCAACCGAATATGACGAGCTCCCCGTTCGCCATAACGAAGATCTCATCAACATTGAACTTTCCAAGAACTTACCTCTCCCAGCAGATGCAGCACATTTTAATGGCCTTCCAATGTGGGATCCTCACGTTAAAGCATTTTTGTTACTTCAGGCCCACATGAGCAGGATTGATCTTCCCATATCTGATTATGTGGGTGATCAAACCAGTGTTCTCGACCAAGCTATCCGTATCATTCAAGCTTCCATCGATGTCCTTACGGAATTGGGATATCTATCAAGCGTTGTGCAAATGATCACTTTACTTCAATGTATCAAATCAGCTCGCTGGCCCGAAGACCACGCTTTGTCTATCCTCCCTGGTGTAGTTCCTGATTTCAAACCATCCAAGGACAACGACATTCCCACATCACTTCAACAATTCTCAGCCTTACCCCAAAACGTGTGTCAATCTCTCAAAAACAAACTACAACTTCCAAGTAGAAATACACAAGCTTTTGATAAGGCAGCAAATATGATACCGAACTTGAAAGTTGAAGTACAAAATGTTACGGCGTTGAAAATGGATGTTGTAATTAAGAGACTTAATGGATTGGTGGATAAGGAGGGAAAAATGTACGCGCCTCGATTCCCTAAGAGTCAGAGTGAGGGATGGTTTGTTGTGCTTTGTAGCAAAGGAAGTGATGAGGTGGCTGCTATTAAGAGATTGGGTTGGAGTGCTCCTAAGGCCAACTTGAAGGGTAAAGGTGCTCAGAATGGAAATGTTGGCAATGGAGAAGAGGGAAAGCAGAATACCAGTGTGATAGGCATAGGAGCCAAACCTCAAGCAAAAGCAACACTTAAATTTCCTGGGACAGAAGAAGGAGAGGAGGGAAATATCATGGATGGGAGAGTATTCGATGTTTGGGTTGTCAGTGATGGATATAGGGGGTTGATCTATAAGGTTGAAGGGGTAGAGGTACCAGATGTCATGAAGGTTAGGGTTGAGGATGAGGGCAAAGGGAAAGATGGAAAGGGGAAGGGAAAATGAGAAAGTGATGGTAGTCGGCGTGAGAGGATAGGAAGGGGAAGATGGAGGACGATGCAGTAAATAGATACATACATGAGTATGAATATACGAACGCGTATACTCATGTACAGAATAAAATATGAAATCATGATATACCTACTATTCAAGATTTTTTTTCAAATAAGAATCCCTCTCTATAGATGTTGAATGTGAAATCTTGATTGACGTCCATCAAGAGGTGGGCCAAATTAGACGTGAGGTTCATATTGTTTACAATAAACACCTTCTATTTCTTCCAATTTTTGGTCAGTTCCGACTTTTCGGCGGAATCTTACGTATAATGAGGATACAAAATTACAACGATTGGGTCTTACAATCAAGAAACTGGATGGAATTATTCGAACCCTTGAGGAGATAGATTAGTTACATGTGGCACAGCATGCAAGTAAGATCAACTGTTTGAAATTTGAACGAGTTGGAATATTATGACCCCTCTTCATTTGATTATTCTAAGATGTATAAAATAAAATAAAATAAAATACCTATTTATGTTTTTCGGGATTAACTATCTATTTGTTTCCAAGTTGTATGGAATAGTACCAAACTTTGAAGATTTCTCAAGTCTCTGTCCAGGTTTCCAGAAGAGAAATATGAGTACCTTTACTCCTCGTCTAATTCCTCCTGAATTAATATTCAAGGAATGGGGGTTTGCAGTCCTCACAATATTCATTCTCGTACGTACACATATACATAAAAAATCCCTAATACCACATCGCGTGCTCACAACCGCAGTACCATATTTCCCACACAATCCACACCATATACCTACACCCACTCTCCGCATTCCCGGGTCCGATCCCCTGGATCTGCACACGCATCCCCTACCTCACCTCCCTCTGGCGAGGACACCTCGCACAAGACGTGTACGCTCTACACCGCAAACACGGACCCATCGTGTGGATTGCTCCCGATGAAGTCTCCTTCGCGACACCACAGGCCTGGCACGATATCTATTCGAATCACGGGAACACCCCCGCGTTCCCGAAAAGTAGCCTTTGGAATGGGGCTAAAACCGGCAGACCAATGTCTGTGCTTAATGCGCTGGAGCCCGCAACACATCGCAGATTTCGCGGGCGATGGAGCGCGCGTTTACGGAGCGCGCGGTGGGGAGGCAGGAGGGGATAATTGTGTCGTACGTGGATGTTTTGATGATGCGCTTACGGGATCTCGTAGAGGGGAATGTGGATGTGGTTGTGGATATTGTTCGCTGGTATGGCTTCTTTACTTTTGATCTCATAGGCGATTTGGGATTCGGAGAATCATTTCGATGTTTGGAGAGCGAGGAATATCATCCCTGGGTCGCGATGATTTTTACTTCTCTGCACGCAGCGACGTATCGAGCTTCGCTGGGGTATTCTTGCGTATTTTGCGCCGGAGAGTGTGCTGAGGAAACAGAGGGAACATTGGGATCTGGCGGTGGAGAAAATAAATCGAAGACTGGAGAGAGAAATGTCGAGACCTGATATCATCTCCCTGATCAAACGCGATGAAGATGCGAAAGAAGGATTGACGATTCAGGAGTTGCAAGCGACAGCTAGCGTCATCATTGTTGCCGGAAGCGAAACGACAGTGAGTGTCCTGAGCGGCATTACAAATTATCTCGTGAACAACCCCGAGAAACTCACTCTTCTTACCTCTGAAATCCGCGAAAAATTCCGAGAAAGAAGAGGAAATATCAATTGCCACGCTGAAAGAAACCACCTATCTAAACGCAGTCTTTCAAGAAGGATTCCGCCTCTGCAATCCCACGTAAGAAACCCATTCTGCCCCTTCCATATCCCCAACCTAACAATGCACAGTCCAGTCGGTCTCCCACGTTTGGTACCTCGAGGCGGCGGCCGAGTATGCGGACACCACCTCCCAGAAAACATATTCGTCAACGTGCATCCCCAATCTATCTCTTTCTCGGCGGAATATTTCCACAAGCCGTCTGAATTTCACCCGGAGAGATGGCTCTCAGCAAACGATCCCTCGTCTCCTTTTTACAGCGACAATCGCAATGCAGTGCAAGTTTTGGGCGTGGGTCCACGCTCTTGTATTGGGAGACCTCTGGCGATGGCGGAGTTGCAACTGGTGCTTGCGAGAATGGTGTGGAGGTTTGATTTGGAGAAGGTGGATAGTGTGGCGGGGAATTTAAAATGGGAGGAGCAGAGAGTTTTCACGGTTGTAGAGCGGAAACCTTTGGAAGTAAGATTGAGAATACGCTCGGCACTACAATAGTTTCATCTATGTATTCTCTTGGAATTATTGTCCTCCTCCCACCCCCAATCAAAGTTTTCACGGTTGTAAAACGAAACCCCCCTTGAAGTGAGACCAACAACACTCTCAACATTAAGACAATTTGAGATAAATACATTATTGAAAATATATCGCTAAATTATATCTACACAAAGCATTTTGAACGGCCCTTCTGAATGAATGGTCTATCTCTGCAGTGATACTATCACCATCAGCATCTTCACACATCACTAATATTACGAAACACTACGTATTAATATCTCAGAATCTAACAGAAAAGAATTACAATATGCTATATCATAAACTAACTAACAACCATTTAGCCCATGACCGAATGATCGATCCATCTACCATCTAATCTAAGGGTGGTGATCCATCCATTTTTTCATCTATCATTCCAGCAGATGCATGCGTTCTTATAAACATACTCCGACGCCCGCAAAATAAAGTAAAGCCTTTGATCAATACCCACCCATCAACTCATCGTTTTCCCTTCAAATGATATAATTCTCAGCCCAATTCATTTAATGAGTTCCATTAACACCATTTGTCTCTGCCTCAACCTCATCTCCACTAGGTTCCTCATAACCATCTTGGTATTTGTCCCAGTTAGCCAACACATTGCCAATCTTTGGACTATTAGTCAAACGATAAACATCCTCGAAATATTCCTTGGTCAATTCGAATGGTCTAGCTGTAACGTTAGGAATGTATTTTCCAATCAATTTGCTGGGATCGATAGTTGTCTTGTTAATCTTCTTGAGCAAGAAACTTCTGAATGGTTTGACTCCACTTCTCAAGAATGTGGAGTGGAAAGGCACATCGATACCCTTGAGAGGAATGGTAGCGAAACCTCTTTGGAGATCAAGAGGCTTAGGCTTGGCTTCGGTTTGTTTAGCACATTCGCGGATGATTTCGACGAGATGTGCTTTGACGTCATCGAGACTCAAGGTTTGCATGAGCTCTTGAATGTCAATTTTTTGAGCTTTGAGGTAGTTGGTTACACCAGTGAGAGTGTCAAGAGCTCTGAGATCACCAGCGCAAACGTATTGCATATTGGCAATGTTGTAATTGACAATTTCCAACAGCCAACTGGTTTCCTCAGCGATGTTTGCAACAACATATTGAAGGGCTTCTTCGTTGAAAGTCTTGGAAATTCTGCTAGGGTTGACAGCGCACATGGAGTAGTTGGATCGACCAGAGGCATCACGTTCGACAGCGACTTGCATAGTCAAACCTCTGTAGAAGACGACAGAAACCAGACTCTCAATTGGCATGACATCTGCCAAAGCAGCAAGGGCAGAATATTCTCCGAGGGAGTGACCAGCGAAACTGCTATCACGTTGAACAAGACCCTTAGAGCGCATATCTTCGAAACTTGCCTTCTCCATCAATGTCAAGGCGGGTTGTGTGAATTGAGTGGCAGAGAGAAGACCGGTTGGTGATCTGTAGGTGTAGGATGTAGTTCGTTCATCAACTTCCTTGAACATCTTCTCGGATTTGATAGAACCATCGGCACCGACAGTTTCGAAAGTCATGGACATATAGTTTTGACGAATTGCCTTACCACGAGGACCACCAAAGTGAATAGTGAGCTCCTTGGGGTTGTTCTTGACAATGTTGGTGATTGCAAAACCTGATGTAGTGTTAGAAATGATATCGTAAAAAGTGACTTGAGTAACTTACCATAGTTGTCCATGAAATGCTTGTCGGCACGATCCCATACTTCCTTAGCGACAGGACTGCTGGCATACAACTCCATACCCATTCCTTGTTCTTGAGAACCTTGACCAGTGAAAACATAGGCTGAGACTGGTTGTTCGACTTCCGCCTCACCAAGTAGGACCTTATCTTCAGTCTCCTTGTTGCTAGCCTCAACCTTGATGATCTTACGACCGGCAACCATACCGACATGTTGTAACTTGACTTCAATATCATCGTTTGGAAGAACCATACCTGTCAGTTGAGCATGGAAACTGCGAACACGACCAACGTGGTTCTCTGCAGCCCAAGTCTCGACTAAGCTGCGAACAGCTGCACTTGAGTACATACCATGGGTGATAGTACCAGGCAGGTTTGCGTAGCTAGAAAAGACACGAGAAACGTGAATAGGGTTGTAATCACCCGAAACACGAGCATAGGTTTCGTTGGATGTTGGTGCTCTGAGAGAGAGAGGAGTCTTTCCATTGAGAGGGATAGGGTTCTCGAAGTTGATTGGTTGTTCAATTGAAGATCCATGACGCTCAAGGTAATCAATGACTGGGTTACCATGAGAAACACCAGCTTCGTACTCGACGCTTGCAACTTGGATGATCTCCTTGGTTGGAAGCTCCAACAAAACTTGACCTCTAGTCTCAACACTTGAGAAGACGGTCTTGTTCTTGAAGCGGACAAGACTCTCAAGACGGAAGGTCAAGGTTTGACCAAGCAACTCGTGATCTGGCTCATCCAAGTTGAACCACTCCTTAGATCTCAAGACAGCAACATCCTTCGAGGTAGCAAGATGGATTTGCATAGGTGTCTCAGTCTTACGCTGGAAGGTGTTCTCAAAATCGGTGTATGCACCTCTGTACAAGAATTGTGAAGTAACCTCCATTACTGGTTTGCCTTCTCTGGTAATGGTACCACACACCTCCACCATCTTACCAGAATCTTGGTTAAGAACAGCATTGATCTGGGCTGTAGTTTCAACTTCGTCACCCTTCTTCAATGGTTCGGCTCCAGGGATCATGCGGAATCCGTTAGAAAGATGCACGAGTTTGAGAAGATCACCATCAATTGTTCTAGGGAAGATGGGCTTGGTAATGGCCTTCCATCCAACAACGATAGCAAAATCCATAGGAGCAAAAACCTCCTTACCAGGTCGGTCAACGAAAGCTTCTCCAGTGTTTCCAACAGCGTGAACGAAGTCGTTAATAGCTTCACTGGTGATGGTAGCTTTACCACCATTGAAAATGCCAGTGACTGAAGCGTCGAGGTCAAGAGTCTCGCCACCGAACCAGGCTCGCCAGTAGAACTCCTTGATACGGTCATTTCTGTCATTCATGACTTCGCGAATTGGAGCATAACCAGCCTCAGGGTGGTATGTGAACTTCAATGGAAGAGATACTGGCTTGCCAACAGCAGTTGTGTCCTTGATCATGTTGACCAAGATCTCATTCTTACCAACCAATTTTACGTCAATGACTGTAACGTAGTGATTTGGTCTGGGTTGCTCCTTGGCGGTGATTACGGTCTTTGAAGGATCGTTAGGATAAGCGATCTCAACAAAAAGACCCTTGACAGGAGAGAAGATTCGTTTCATTGGGTTTGTTTGGAACTTTTGCCCTTGAACAAATACCTCTGAAGTGAAAAGAGCATGTCGCCAAGATCTCTTACGGCCTGCGAGCAATGAGAGCCAAGCCTCGAGAGATGGCAGAACAGCAGTGGGAGAGTATGACAATCGGTAAGTGGTCTTGTCAGCATCTTCCGAAATTGTGAGACCTTCAACGTCGACTTCCTCCTCAGTTTCAATGAGCTTGCCACCAAAGTATTCAAGCACTGGAATAGACGATTCATCTCCACCGTAGATATCTTGGGTCAAAGACTTGATGTGTGAGTTGTGAATACCGTCAAGAATTTCCTTGATTGGCTCATCGACAACCTTGGAGTATTTGACAGCTATTGGTCCTTGCAAGATACAAGTTCTTCCTACATCTTGACCGATGACAGCCTCAAGATCTTCAGATTGCCAGAGAGAATCTTTCTTGAAGAAGAATTCAAAATTTTCATCAAGAGATGGCACGAATGTAGTTGGCTTTTGACCTCTACGTTGGCAAAGCATAAGGAAGTGTTGAACATCTTGAGCGTTGATGAGTTGTTTCTCCGATTCTGGGTAAGCAGCTAGAATATTTTCCACGGTTGGGTAAGGATCTTCCAAATCTGCGTAAGATTGGAGCATGGATGGCTGTCCTTGAGCAGTCGTGAAACGCTCCTCAACACGGCGAATGAAGTCACCAGTGAGCTTGATGTATGATTTGTCGATCCAGCGAGACTCGTGCTTGACATACATCAAGTCTACCATTCTGCGGACAACTTCACCATATGTCATGTCCTCAAGATCAACTGTCTCCCCGGCTTTGTTTCGTCCAAACCAAACCTTTTGGAAATCATCATTCAACTTCTTGATGATGTAATCACGGTTCTTCTTCAATTCAGGTACTCGCTTGTCCTTTGGTAGACTAAAGATTTTGGCATCCATCTCAGCCCAGAATTTAACACCACGAGTAGCCAGCTTGTGAATTGGCTCACCCATTTCAGATCGAACGGTGATGATACCACCGGCAGGGCCCTTGTAGGTCTTCTCCCATGCGGCATCATCAACACCTTCGGCTTCAGTGATGGCTTTCTTGGCATTTATGCTGGTACGTGCTTCCTTGGCTGTCATTACACGACTACCAAAGAGACATCCATCGAATGGCATTGGGGGGTAGCCATAATTCTTTGACCATGCACCAGTGAAGTAAGGATAAGTATCTTCTGCGCCACCGAAACCACTACCTGCGACCAAGAGAATGTTCTCCTGTCTTCTGATACGCGAATACATTGAAAGAATTGGCTGATGGAAATCCTCAAAGGAGTGATGTCCTCCTCCACGACCTCCAGTCCACTGAAGGATCACTGGGAAAGTTGGGTTAGCCTTTGCAATATTGACGACAGCTTGAATGGCATCCATAGATCCTGGCTTGAACGAGATATGTTTTAAGCCAAGAGTTTCAATATATTCTTGTGCCACCTCGATGGAAGGTACACCAGCACCAATTGTGAGACCTTCAATTGGTACACCTTCTGCACGTAATTGCCCGAGTAGTGGAATTTGCCATTGCATAGCACGTGGGTTGATGTAGATGAGGTTGACAGAAATACCACGACCAGCTGGAATGGCATTCTCGATCTTCCTAAACGCTTCGGTCATAGTCTTGGCATTGTAGTATCCACCTCCAGCCAACTCAATTTGATAACCGGCATTCATAGTCGCAGCAACGAAATCCCAAGGAACAGTACACGGTGTCATACCAGCAACCATGAGAGGGGGAACTCCCAAGATTCGACTCATCTTTGTGTCCACAAATGTCTGACCGGTTGAGGTCTTGACCAATTTTGGACCATGCTCCTTTACCCAATCGACTGCATATTTGACGGCGTGTTCCTCATCACGATCGAAAAGCTCGGGCTTGTAACCGACCTCTGGAACGGTACCACTGACTGTGCCAGCTAAGATAACACGAACACCGGTTCCATCCTTGTTGCGGCTGGTCAAAACACCAAGACCAGATACACCACCAGGGCCGAAATCCAG